ATATTACAATTCCAAAAGCCAATACAATTGCATTACAAATTCAAAGTTTGGATTGCTCCCAAAAAACTCATTGTCAGTTATCGTACAATAACGGAGAAGTACAATATATCAAAGAATGCAGTAGAATAAATTTATAATATATAGAATTTGAGACGTTTTAAAAGAAAAGGATTTATCACTGTACAAGATAATCATCGAGTTGTTCGCAAATGCCGTCGAAATCGGATGAACACATCGTAAAACGTTTTAGATGCATCGAAACTGAATATGTTGACAAACAATATAAAACGAAGATTATATGAAATAGTTTATTAAAAAATTATAAAACTAAACGTAAGCCGCTTATTAGTAAACAGAATATGAAGAAATGTTTAAATTTTTCTAAAAAAATATGTATACATTACAACGTCATTTTGCAAAAAAATAATATGGATTACCGAAAGCAAATGTGAAAATGGCGACACCTAAAAAAAGGGCATTAAATTTTGAAAAAATCGGACCAGGCTTTCAAGTCAAAATTCATCACTAATTATTTTATTAATTAAATTTGGCGGTGGATCACTGATGGGAGTACTTTTCATGATATGGAGTTAATAAATCAGCTCTTGTAGACGGTACAATGACTGCCGAAAAGTATATTGTTATAATAAATGAAAATTTAGAAAACGTAGCAGTAAAAATGAGAAGAATGTATTCTAAAACGAAACAATACTGCAAAAGAAACGAAAAAATTTTGAATTATTATAATAGTAACTGTAAAGTTTTAAGTTCTGTTAGACAAGCTGTACAATGAAGCAGATGTTTTTAGCGATCTTTAATCAATGTTCGAAAATATTTTGAAACATTAGATAGAAAACTTAATAAATAGTTTGTCAAGTCAATTAGAAGCAGTAATTAATAATAAGAATAAATAATTTTTTAGGGATTATTTTTTAGGTAATTTTAACATTAAATACAATTTATTTCTAAAAAAATGTAAATATAAATTTCAATGTTTCACTTATAAATGTATGAATCATAAGAATATATAATAAATAAATTTTAAGTGTATATTAATGGCAGTAATTAAAGGAAACTTCATCGACGATGCTTTTCTAGTACCTGTTCATTTCCTTTTGTCTCCGACTGAATGAATGTAAGTATTATATTTCGGAAAAAAAACAGATCTTTCAAGCATTCTCATACCTAAACAAAATATATTTTCGATTATTTTATTAATACTTCGAAAAACAAAATAGTATATAATACTTTGTCACTTTTCTCCACTTTTCGTTTTGTTAAATTAATCGTTTTGGCAAGTGAATAACTCATATGTGAAATATTCAATTCTTTTTAACATTATTTACAAGTACATTTTGAAAACTTGTATGCCTGTAAGTATTCATTCTAGGATTCAAATCCAAGTTGTGTAGATTGAATACATTGCTAATATAATCATTAAAACACTACTATTTTAGATTAATATTTGAAACTCATATCAGATTCTTAAGTATAATCCGTTTGATAGTATACTCTGTTCTATTATTCCATTTATTTAACCGAACTTTATTGGCTAAAAAAACTCCATAAATTTTCCTCGAATTAAAATCTCACCATTGCGGTGACTATTTTAATAATTTAATATTAGAATTCTCATAAATAAATTATATATATTGAATCATCTAATAGTCGATAAATCTTAGGAGGAATCCTTATCCTTTTAGATGTACTCAACAGTTCTAATAGAATGTTAAAGATAAGACATGATGAGAGAGAAAAAGAGAGGTAGCAGATGTTTCTTCCTTTACAGACACCTGCTACCAACTGTTAAATCTTAAAGAAAACAACCTAATTACAATTTAATTAATCACTAGCTAAAAACACAATGTTTTTTTCTAATCATGCAATATAAACGAATCTTGGTTAGCCGGTTTATAATTTTTATTGAATTTTATATAGAATCTTTTATCATGAATATTAAAATTTGTTATGCTAACTTAACTGAATGAAAACTAAATATACCTGAATTAATTAGGATTATTAAAAGAATTAATTAATGCGAATCCAATAATTAGAAATTAATTTGAAGAAAATATGCACAAAGAACTGTATAACTAACTATAAGTATATGTTACAAATATACTATACACGCATTTAATGATACCATCACTGATATATCATTAAAATGTATCTGCTTCCCTATTAGCTCATATGCAAGGAAGTTAGGAAAAAAGGAAAGAAAGAATTATGACACACAGGAAAATAAAATAAAGGACACTTAACAAATTTCATCCGTGAATATGCACGACAGGAGAATTCCTCTTCCTGTTCATATTAAGTGTATTTCAAACTTATTAATTATAATTATAATTATACAATACTTCTTGAACCAAAAGAATATATAAAAATATATATATATATCATGAAATATTTTCTTGATCAATAAACTTTAACTAGCTGTGTGGAAAAAAGTTTATTTAATTTCAAACATATGCTCTAGGAATAGAAATTTAAATATTACTTTCATGAAAATTGATCAAAGTAATTAATATTCAAATTCTTGAAAATTAATTTTTTTTTTTGATTCTTCTTTCGCATTAAATTTAATTGTCAATAAATTCTTAACAGCATATTCAGTAATAGCGTAATTCGATTTTTTTTATATACCTGAAATTAATCATATGTTTAAATAATTTTAATATGGTATAAAATACAAATTCAGTTCATATTATTTTTTAGGATATACTGTACATAAAATTAATGTGAAAAAATTGCGAATAAAACTTATGGCATGCTACGCGCTTGAGAAACAAAGCTTAACACTTAACGGACGGATCGAATCTGCTCTGTCTTTCCTATTATAGTTTCCTGGCATTTTTCAAGAGAGTTAAATAAACATGAATGTATGAATTTAAAGCGTTGTAGTTTTATTAAATCCATTATATTTCTTATAATATTTTATAACGGTATTTATACCTGTAACTGATGATATCATGAAAAAATAACAATGTGCATAAAAGAAAACCCTAATGCAACATACTAAAAATTCATGGAAAAACGTAGTTCTACGTGGCCCGTCCTAGGAAGTCACAACGGAAAATCGTAAATTTACGGGGCCCGTCCGTTAAGTGTTAAGATTCTACAAAGGTGGAAGATTTTTCTTTACTCACATAACGTTGAAAGATGTAATAACCCGAGACACGCCTCACTGCCTTTAAATAAATTTCAGATTCATTCACGATATCTTAGCCCTTCAAACATTTTACTTTCTTATAATTCAACAAACTTCATAGCGAATATCGGTTGTCACCTTTTTTAATACTCATTAGTTTGTAGCTGATTTCGCTTTGTATGTAATATACATATGTCGATTGTCATTTTTATATGACAGACGAGCGAAATGCCAAAATACCGTTGTCACTGGAGACGTAACTGACGCCCGATAAGAGTTAATAACTAGCTAGAATTCCTGTAAATTTTATAAATTTAAGAAAGTTTAAATCAATCCTTTAACAACAGCTATTAGAACAAGCAAATTTCATTACTTTCTTGTAAAAGAAAATATTTGTATCCATTTTTTGCGTATTATCATCCTCAACGTTATCATTGTTATCAATTATCTCGGCAGTTTATCTCGATTATTTTTTTCTTCTTTCAACAGCTGTTAACTTGAAAAATCGTTACCCATAATATAGTACTCCTCGAAAGAGGAGAAACAAGTTAGAGGAAAAATTATGCAATAGTAATATTTACGAAATCATGTAAGTGCATATGACATAAATATATATGATGCGAAGGTGGTCCACGACTCTTATCACCTGTCGTTTTCTTTATTTTGTCTTCCTGTTTAACACAGTTATTCCTTTCATTAATCATCTTCTATGATAATGTCTCTTCTTTCGATAATAAAATTATTTCTTCTTGGATGTAACCAACTTTAACATGTTGACTGCCGCGTGCTTTTTACACGATTTGCCTTCCACACCTACATAAATTTTTTATTATAGGATGCATATTTTATTGAAACTGTGATCCGGTTCAAAAATGATAGTAGGTTAAAATTTATGGAAATCTGTTGTTGATTTGTCTGATCAAATGACTGCTAATAGTTTATCACTGTAAAAATCTATAAAATGTTACTAGAAATTGGCAATAGAAAAAACTTTTACTAATTACTTATGTTATCAATAAAATGGTATTATACGAACAAATAACTCGAAAAATATTTGAATTCCCGATTTTATAATAAAATTAACGATTTATTTAGTGAAATGTTCTGATGATGAAGATTGCATTTTATCAAGCAATTATGCATAGAATAAACGTCATTTTTCATTCATAATTTGCTTCTATTAATAACATTATTTTTGCATGTTCTGTATGTCATTATTCTTTTCAAACCCTCATAAAAACAATGGTATTATTTAAAAATTGATCAGTATCGGTATTTACTCTAATTATATATTTTTACTATTAGTCGTGTTAAAATAATTCGATTTTGGAGACAGGAAGGAAACAAAATCAGCGCAAAGAAATTATATCAGGTGCGGTTAAAACCTATCCTGTTCATCCATTAGAACGTGCAAAAGGGGAAAAAACAATGGGAGAAAGAATACACATATAGGCTGACACTGGACAGGATGTGGTTAAGGATGATGTCTGGAAGCTACTTTTTCATTGAAGAGTTAAAAAGTAGGAGGAAATGAATAACAACAATGGTTTCATGACAAGAAATTATCTATCTACCTATCCTTCGGAAAATTTCTGATATATTTACAGAAATTTATTTAACATTATTTCAAAAAAGAAGATCAATAAAAATTGATTTTTTTGGTTTAACTAACTCGTTTAAAAAAAAAAAACCCCTTTTACTGCTAAGGAGAAGGGTTTCATAAAAATGAATCATAAAAATCAATTGTATAATTACGTGTCTTTCCTTTTCTTTTTTTTTATTTTAAATATTTTTAAATTCAAATAATTAGAACAGATAACTTATGCAATTTTTTAAATTTGTATTATAGATCGCGATCTGGCTACGACTCTAGTAGTGGTGAAGATTCCGAATCCGAATATAGTACTGGTATCGTTCGACCAAGCAGCAGTCAGTCACAAAATAATACTGGCAACTCGAATGTCAACTCTTATAGCCAAGGGAAACATATTAATAAGGGTCGCTGGACAAAGGAAGAGGTAAGAGAACATCTCTTTCTCTCCCTCTTTCCCTCTATCTCTCTCCCTCTCTCTCTCTCACTTTCTCTTTTTCTCTCTTTTTCTTTCTCTTTCTCTTTCTCTTTCTCTTTCTCTTTCTCTTTCTCTTTCTCTTTCTCTTTCTCTTNCACTTTCTCTTTTTCTCTCTTTTTCTTTCTCTTTCTCTTTCTCTTTCTCTTTCTCTTTCTCTTTCTCTTTCTCTTTCTCTTTCTCTTTCTCTTATCCGTCTGGCAATCCCAAATTCTGAATCCATCGGACGTATCATTACGGTGCTAACTCTCAAGCGAATTAAAAAGAGGACGGCAGGAGTCGAACAATGGAACGTGCCCTCAAAAAGGACCAGCCCCTGAGAGTGCCACCCGTTTTTGAACGAGTTGCATCGTGCCTCGGGGCAGATGCCCTCGTGTTGTTGAATGCCTTACGGGCATATATGTGTTATATACATATGTGAAGATTCGCAGAACGGTGCTCACGACGACATATGGTTTCCCGTGGGAAAGCACACGCAAGAATCGATCGTGTTTTCGTGAACCGTACCCGTGTACACATTCACCTTTCATGAAAGAATTATAACCATAAAAAAGAATGAGAAGACGGAGTAAGGAAAGGATAATAATCATCGTTGATTTATGAACTCCTCTGAATGTTTTGAAAGTCTATGCAGATAAAATGATTATCAAGACTATACATGTTTTCTGAACATATTTTATTTTAATTTGTGTTTAAACAATCAGTCTTCCAACTCTCTATTAACTTGTCTATTTTATTACAGGACGCTCTATTAAAGCAACTGGTTAGTAACGCGGAACAACTTGGTAAGGGATTACGATGGGACACTATAGCTGCTCATTTTCCCGAACGAAGCGACGTTCAGTGTCAACAGAGATGGGCAAAGGTCGTAAATCCGGAATTAATAAAGGGCCCTTGGACCAAGGAGGTAAAAAAAATTTGTCAAATAGGTACAGTTTCTTAACGAAAAGTAATTGACTACCTGGCATTCTTAGCTCAAAGCTTTTTTAACGTTTCTTGTTATGAAAAACGTAGTTCTATTATTTATACCTTCCAAAAAGAGCAAAAGAGCTCCAACTGAGCCAAAATTTATTTGAGTAAAAATTTAATATCCCGTTGTATTTGTTCAAACATTTTCATTTTTCAAAACTTTTCTTACAAATAACCCAAAAAAAATGAAAGAAAAAGGGAAATGACCACCATCGAAGATAAGAGTAACATTCTACAAGATTTTCTAAAAATAAGGAGACCCTGGAAAAGAGCTCGTCGTATAGTACAAAATCTCTTCTACTCATTAGGAGAGGTCATGACCTGTTACTCTAGTTGAATAGGTGGCGTTCGGCTCGACTCAAATTCATAACAGTGTTTTTTTTATTTAGAAAAAGTAGTTTTTTCACATGAAGAAGGCCCCACTAGAGAAAAAGCTGAAACACGTTTCTAATTATTTTCGATTCTCTATCGATTGAGTATAATTTAGTTCATTTTCTAGAGTTACAGGTCACGACCTCTCCTTGTCAGTAACAAAACATATACAGGATGTCTCATAAATACATATCAATACTTTAATGATATATCTACACGCTAGAACAAATAAAAAATGTCTGAAGAATATATGTCCAATATATCTTATGATTAGTTAGTTTTTGAATTATACGTGATTAAAGAAAATGTTCTAAGTGCTCGCCTCTGCTCTAACTATTCCAATGAATGAATGAAAACATTCTGCAATTTGAAATTTTACGTTCCGACAAGTTTTCTTGGTATAATTGCCGTACTTCCAGTTCATTTCCGTTTGCCTATCCATAAATGGATATAGCATGTTTGTCATTTCAGTATCACTATACAAAACCATTTTATCGGTTTCCAAACACTACTGACTGCGACTAACATTATTCGCAAGAATAAGGAAGGCACATACTACATGAAATTTGTTGTGTTTCGTGTCGATAAACATTATTTACAAACATTAGATAAAGTCAAGGTGTACAGAAGTTTGTGTTGACATTATATTATTTTTATTCATCCATAATTCGAAAACTAAAATATACTGAACATACGTTCATATGGCATTTTACACTCACTTTGTGACTTCTAGATGTACCTCCTGATGTATTTACATGCATTTATGAAAAACCCTATACGAACGAACACCATACATAGTTACCAACCGCCTACGCGAGAACTCTGCCAGTAGACTCGGTGGGGGGTATAGAAGAAGAAAAAAGATCTTCGGTCACGGTGATGTTGCGTTGTCGTCAAGTCCCGTGCCAATGCACTTGGCAACAGCCAAGGGCATTTCGAATGAGCCATTTAGAAGGGACTCAGTCGATAATGTAGTTTGTCGTTTTAATAACCTTACGAAGATAGAATATCATTATTTAAATTATTGAGTCTATTAATCTACCATATAGAAATAAACTTAGATGAATAATTATATTGTTGAATCTCATTACGATGTTGTAGTATATTACATCGAGCATAACGTTGCCTAGATTTATGAACGATTTCAAAGTGTGAGTACGTTCTCTCGCCTCTTCAAAGCTGCATTTCCTTCTTTCCGGTCCTAAAAAAAGCTCTCTCCTTATGGTTCAACCTTGCATTGGCACTCAAACTTTACTACATTGCTCTTTTTTTCTTTTTATTATTTTTTCTCTTTGCAACAAAAACCGGAAGAAAAAAGTTTTGCAAATTTTAGTGTTTATTTCAATAATAACCATGTTAATAATAAAGAAGATTTAAGCTTTTTAATTTTGATGTTAATTCACTACTTAACACAAGGTTATTATGGAGAAAAGAGGATAAAAAAATTTTATGTTTAAAATTAAATTCTTAATTTTTAAACATTTTAAAACACGATCCTGGCATCATGCTTTTAAAATATTTGTATTACTGGAAAATATCAATGGACGTGATATCACATCACCGAGCGTTAAATGGCTAAAAACCTTATATTAGGTAACGTCAAGTTCTCCTTCGTCCATTCTCTTACTCTTCCTTCATAATTATAATATCATTTATCCTAGTCACAATCTTTCCTCTTATTGCTTTTTTCTTTTTCTCTTTTTCCTTTTGCTGCAGCAGACAACTCCTTTGAATTTTTCTCAGCTGTTCTTCAACCGGTTAATTACGTTCATCTTGATTTACCTTTTCTCGAAGATTCTTCTTCTCTTATAACCTTTCTTATTTTTCATTACTTTTTCTCTTTTTCTTCTAGGAAGATGAAAAAGTTGTCGAGCTAGTGGAAAAATACGGTCCTAAAAAGTGGACCCTTATCGCGCGACATTTAAAAGGCCGCATCGGCAAACAGTGTCGTGAAAGATGGCACAATCATTTGAATCCAGGAATTAAAAAAACAGCGTGGACTGAGGCAGAGGATAAAATAATCGTCGACGCTCATCGTAAAGTTGGTAATCAGTGGGCTAAAATTGCAAAACTTTTACCTGGAAGAACTGATAATGCCATTAAGAATCACTGGAATAGTACAATGAGAAGGAAGTATGAAGCTGAAGAAGGAAGATGCACCATTAGTACGCGAGGTATATATTCGAAATATCAATATCATTGACTTATATTAAAATTAGTATAAAATAAAAATGAAAACTGATTCGATATAGTATGCACCTTTATAGGGAGGCGTAGGAGGAAACCATCGGAAACTATAACGATGCGAAAGGATCTTTCGGTGGACGAAGAAATAAGCATGAATAATGCTCGAACGAAATCTGCGTCGAACAGTAACGATAATAATTTACCTATATCATCCAGTAACGCCACTCAATCGGTAAAATTGGAATCTTTTGATTGGACCGGTACGTGGGAACAACAGAACAATGAACATTCGTATATTCATTCTGCGCCAGAACGTGAACGGAGTAATACGAAAGAAAGAGAAATCGAGTCTTTTTCTAGACGAGCAGATGTATCTTCGAGAGTAAAAACGGAAGATATTTCGCCATTTACGAAGTACGAACAAATATCGATGAATCTATTTCTTTCAAAATTATTTCTTATTAGATTTATCTTTCCCTCATAGATATTTCAGTATGGATCTACAAAACGAAACTGTGGATTCAAGAAATGCTGAGATAAGATTACTTCCAATGCCCGACTTGGAAGAAACCTCGACACATCTTACTGAAAGAGAAAAAAGCAGTCCTCCACCGATTCTGCGTAGACGTCGGAATATTCAATCGGTTACACAAAGAACGGACAATTCTGACAGTGGGAATCAATCGGACTATTTCATAATAACTGGTCAACAAACGCATAATGGCAATATTACGCCATCTACTCCCATAAAACAACTTCCATTCAGTCCTTCTCAATTCTTAAATAGTCTAAGTCCTGAAACGTCTGCCTGGCCTTGTGCAAGTACTCCAAAATCTGACAGTCCTGGACCACTTACGACACCACAACCTACGGGTTTGCGACGAAATCAAAACGGTAGGTTATTCAAACCGAAGAATAAATTATAATAAAATATATCATTTTCAGTCAACAGTTAAATTCAATGTTTTCTTGAAATGTTTAGACATCAATACTCCGAGAACGCCAACTCCATTCAAAAACGCTCTGGCTGAGCTTGAACGACGAAGTGGCGCAACTACTCAGTTCCCTGCTACTCCTAGCCGTTTAGATGCTTTAACTGAGATTATTAAACAAGAAACTGATCGCGAAAGTATGGCGAGTACCAGTCATATTATTCTCCAAGATTCTGGATATTGCTCTACTACAAGGCGGCGAGGTAAAGAGAACAGTGCACCTGGTGGAAAAAGAGCACGCAAAGCTCTCTGTCAGGCTTGGGGTGGAAATGTTCCATCTGACAATGGAGATATGAGTTTTGTCGTTGAAACTCCGGTAAGATTTATTTAAAAAGTAATTTCATTTTATGGATTGAAGTGAAAAATCATTACATAAACTTTGTTTTTTTTTATTATTTTGTAGAGCAAAAGTTTGGACACTTCAGTGCTGTTCTCACCAGCGTCCATGGCGTTAGAAGATAGTTTCTTAACAGCAGGTCAAAGTCCCATAAAGGTAGAGCACCGAATCCAAAATCAAACCCAAATTCAATCAGCTCTATCCTGGCATTATACCCTCACCAATCGCCTTTAGACACGCTAGCCGGCCTTCTTAATTTTTCATATTTTAACACTTCCTCTCTCTTTCTTTTTATTTTTACTTGTCTCTCTATTGTCTGTCATCTTTTTACCTCTTATTTTCTTATATATTTAATACTAATCGTTTTTTCTCATTCGTTATTACATTATTTAATAAGAAAATTAATGAAAAAATCGTGGTTTTTTATGTTCTTCTTCACGCGCGCTTTATTTAAGTTGTTTTTAATTCTTTTTTTTACGCCACTTAACATCGTCCAATCCAAAGATTATTGTCTTATTAACTTTATCTTAAATATAAAAATAACAATGATTAACACGAGTAACATTCAAATCATACATTTTATTTATATTAATTTATTTCTAATAATACGATCGCTTTTGTCTTTGTTAAATATTGATAAAGTTATTTTTTTAATTTGTACCTGTAAACAATGGGAGGAGAGGAAAAATAAAATGTTTACCTTGTTTGATTATGTAGACAACTGTTTAAATACAATTATCTTGCTAAAACATATAAAGCAAAAATGATATATTATATAAGTAAAAATATATATATAAATTAAATTATTAATTATTTATAGATGTAGTAATATTCCTTTCTTTTTAAAATATTAGACAATATCGTTTCTTTCAATACAGATCATTATCGACCTTTGCTTCGCTCGTTTAATTTCTTGTTTTATTATGTTCGTTATTGAAATGCATTCGAAAGAAAAAAAGAGAGTGACGGATTCGTAATTGTATAAAAATTAACTGTTATCTTCGATACATTTCTTATTTAAAAAGAAATAATTTTTGAAAATACTTCGATTATATTGTAAAATCATTTGCGAAAATTAGATCAATTACTTTGTTTCTAAACAGCGATATCCAAAGTTTTCTGTGCGATAATATGCATAGTATTCTCATATTTATTTAATATATATTTATATATTTGGATTTTTTGTTTAAAATACATGTTTATATGTATATTATTAGTAATAGGTTAATTCGCCGCATGTTTGTACTAACTTTTAAAAGAATATCCTTTTTTATGTTATTATACAGGCCTGGCCTAGCGTACTAAAGTACCCCAGTCCTGTCCTTAATGATCCATCATGCAACGAATAATCCAATATTTGTATGCGGTTACGTCGTAATATAATCTATAAAATACGCACGACAACACAAATTAAACTACTCAAACCCATAAATTTAGAAAGAAAAAAATCACAAGGCCTAGTCATCGTACCAATCGCGATATAATATTTATTAAAACTAGTAACAAGCATGCGAATAAAAGGAAAGGAGTTTAAAAATTTTGTAACTCTATCGTGTTGAGCAAAGAAATTTTTTGAACAAGCGTGTTCTAGATTAATTTTAAAAATCTCTCTGTCTATTTCAGCTTGCTTTATTTATAAACTTTTATTGAATACTAATAGAATAATATCTTTTTGTTTCGTTTTTAAAGTAATATCTCTACATAGGCGCATTTTCTAATTTCATTTCTCGATTGCCGGCTGTAGCTAGTGTGTCTATCCTTTCCAGACTTCCCACGACTTGTTGTCCGTTCAGCGGAAGCCCAATGCCAAGAGAGCAATCACGTTCGATGCGCTCGACAGCCCTTGTATCCTCAGCCCTCTACCTCTGAGGCCAATCAAACGTGCCAAGGTGAGTTCTCCATTTCTTCATCTTCTACGTTTTTATCATATCATCAATTAGATACAATGATCCAGAAACTCCCATTTCTTTTTCAGTATAATTCCAATTCAGAGGAAAAAAGAGAATATTTAAATAACAACGATAAATAATTTTTATATTTTACACTGTATTTTCATCTAGGATGCTATTATAACACTTCAATGCAGATTCTTAATTGGAAAATAAGGTTTCTAGATCATTGTGTAATTATTGATTTAAACGAAACAATTTATTTAGCGATAAAAAATATGTATTATACACTATTTGTATTGTTTTCAGTTGCATTTGGAAACACAGTGGGCTGCGGTTGCTTGCGGTCGTACGCGCGATCAACTCGAAATGACACGCGCGGCACGACGATTTCTTAGCAATCACGGCTTTTTACCATTACGTCCTCGGTCCTTAAATTTTTAAAGTTTTAGTAAGTTTTTCATAGGATGTCTTTGAAGGATTAGAAGCTGGAAATGACGAGCATAGACAGAGCTTAATTGTAATTTTGGTACAAAAAAGAAATAAAAGTTAAACAAAATAAATCATTACGTTAAACTAGTCGGAGTTAAGCTAATCATTTGGCATTTCCGTTTAAGGAATTCTGCCATAATTGTCATGTGTATCGATTTAAATGAAGAAAAGTATAATAAAAGTAAGAAAGCAGCAACAAGGAAAAAGAGAAAAGGTCACGCCTCTTATCAACATTTTTATTTTTTATTACGTTTTGAAAAAAAATGTATTATTTAAAAGATAGAAACGAAAAAGGAGAAATAACACAGGATGGAAGTATAAGGAACACAATTACGTACAGGGTTTATTTTTGGTTGTCTTTTTTCCTTGATATAGAGAGGGGAAATTAAAGGGAGCAAATTATGTATTACACAATGTTTCAGTTCTATTTTACTTTCCTCGACAAACGTAATTAATAACAACCAAAAACAAACCCTTTCCATTATTATCTTTCTAGTAGAAGTATTTTTCAATGAAAAATATCTTTCAAAAGTGAAAAGAAAAAGTATTGTGTAGAGTTTTCTTTTTTTCTCTTGAATGAGGTAAAATTGAATAATGATCAATTTATTTAATATACTATATTATATAAAACAAAAGAATAATATTGCGCCCGTTATGTACAAAGAGCCTTTGTAATTGATATTTAATTTACAATTGAATAATAAAAACATAACGATAGTTACACAAAACTTGTGTGTTTTACTTTGGCTAGATAAAACCACAACGAGAAACCTTATGGAAGGTGCCATAATAAATGTGAAATATGACTATGTGATACACCAAAATTCTAAATTCTAAATTTATAAGGTGTCACATATTTTCTTTACGACGTGCCTTGGAATGAATTGGAATGGAAAAACCGTATAAATAAAAGAAATTTGTTTTATCATATAATGAGTAAAACTTAAATGGTTCCTCAAATAACAAACTATTCTATGTTTCTTATTAAATTGAAAGCTGGTGCTGTTTAATATTCACTCTAACTCGAAAATATTCAATTGCTATATGCGGTATTTAACGTAGTAAAAGTATTATTTTAAGTTATTTGATATGAATGAGTCGAAGAAAAATGATATACGTGAACTACCACATAATTTTTGCTGACTGATATAATACGACTAAAGTGTACCTGATCTATAAATGTCATATGACATTCTGTGCTACATTGAATTATACAATATATAGTTTAACTAGATACGAATAAAATGTGTCAAACTATGTTCGTATGAGTACAAATGTTGAATGAAATTAAAACTATTATATATGAAGGTGTACATATGTACATATATAATTAGCTTTCGATGGGTCATTATTTATCTTCACATGAACATCTAGTTCAATATCTTTGATACAGAAATATTATTGTACTCGTTCGTACCACCGAACAACAGAAATTAATACTTTCAACATATATAAAACATATATATATTGTTATTAATTTCATAAAAACACCTTAGAGGTAAAGACATATTAAAATTTTATCATGAATTTTTATCAAATCATGAAATACCATATCAATTTCTAATAATCAGCTATGACTCAATTTTATTATGCAGTTTTGGAGAATTTGAAAGACTATGTAATTTTGTTAATCCAATTATTAATCTTACTTATATTCAAATATACAAAATAATTACTCAAAGCACTGTGAACAAGTTTTATAACAAATAAGTAAATACACGATATAAGATTCAAGAAAAGATTCTATGCAGAGATAAAAAAGTGAATTAAAAAAATGTATTATTTGTCTAATTTTATTTCTTCCCATGCAGAATAAGCTTTAGAATATTTTTTAAGTTACTGCATATTAAAAGAGTATATTATAAACTTTATCTTGACAAGAACATTTAAACAAATGTTAGAACATTATTATAATATTTGAATGTAATGATAAAAAATTCCTTAGTAGACTTATCTATATTAAATGTTCTTAGTGCCAGTTATGTAAATTTATCAATTGCAAGAATCAAAATATCCTACGATTTATATTATTAATAATTTTGCTATCTAAGAAAAGTATTATAAAAACAAATTATATATTACTTTCGGTCCAATATACATTTAACTTAAAAGTAACAAGATCTGTTATATTATCTCCAGTCTAACGTATATGAAATTTAAAAATAACAAGCCACAAACAATTAACATGATTAATGCATACCAGTTTCAAATACGTAATACTGGAGTATCGCCGGTATATTTCTTTTAACTTTGTCCGGGCTATGAACATAATTTGTATCTTGCCTCTTTGACGAATATAAATATAAATTATTAATATTGCCGAGCAAGTAGTATACCGGCACTTAGTTTTTCCTTAACTCCTTATACAAGCCTCTACGAAGCTCTAACAGTAATGCTTATTTTAGCAATATTGATGTATTCAAATATGATTTTTAAATTGAACTAATTAACACGTTTACTGCCACGCAAGTTTATAAGAAAAGCTCTGTCAAGCCATACGCACTGTTATAACATGGTGCACTTCAAAGATTGAAACTTACTCTGTAGCTATGTAAACATATTGGGTCTATTGTTTCTTATTGTAATAGAAAATTATCACATTTAGAATGATTTAACGAATAGAACAGATTTATATCGAATTGAAAATCAATATTATTTCTTATCGTAGCAGAAGATAAGCATGTTAAGAATAAAACTTTCTTCTTTTTTAAATATTTTTTCTGTAGCGACAAATGCTTAACATTTTTTTCGTATTAAAATAATCCTAATTTTTTGGAATGTCAAAAAAAAATGGGAAAGTTGTTTCTTAGTAAATTATAATGAAAAAAAAACCTGTTACAAAGCTTATAAAAATTCAAATAGTAGCGATGAGGAATAGCTGAGATTTAAAAAAAAAAGAAATATAAATAGAATTACATAGTTAGATTCTGATTCGGATATTAATAAATGCAGTGATAATGAATATGACGTAGATATTATTGATCATATTTTATAAGAATTGGTTTTTGAAGAAAAAAGAAAAGTGGATACTGAAGAAAGAACATGCAATTCAGTTTAGAGAATGAAACGGATTTAGTTGTCGGCAATAATCATTTTCTTTTACTGGGACAGGCATTCTTATTAGGGAATTACCTGGCAATATCAATCCCTACTTTGTTCGTTGATGACGAAATAATAGACTTGCTTGTATTATTAGAAACAAATAAATATGCTGAACAAAAATTAAATAAATCTGAGTTAACCCCACCTTTTCACGGATGAATAAATAGGCACGAACTAATTGTGAATTTATTGTGTAAAATTATATCTTACGAAATATCTTTCCAAATACCTACTAACTTACCTTATAAGTATTCAAATAAGCGTCACCCGAATACGGATAACGCAGCCTGATCAGAATTTTCTAACGCAGTAGTTAACGTGTTAATATACATATTATACTCTAAATTTTAAACATGCTCATATAAATGTACAGCAAATATATTTTTAAACTAAGATTTTTAACAATAAATGGTCATTATTTATTCTAACAAGGGGATACCGAAGTGCGAAAGACTAAGGCTTTTATTAAACTTTACGCACTTGTAGTAGTCCATGAGAATATACATTATACTTTTAAAAAAAAAACGAGATCTCCAACGTGTGCGAAAAAAACAGGAATAGAAATTTCACAAACATTCTTATATTCACTTATTTCTTTTTCTTCGATAACGTAATGGGTAGCAGCGTGGTCTCATGTTCTTGATGTTTCCTTGATTTTTTTTATGTTTTTATTTCTTATTTTCGTTATTGTAAAGTATGTTTAATTTATTTTATTTTTCTGCTTCTATATAGAGTATATCATATTAATTTCATACTAAATATAATAAAAAAGAGTGCATCTGTATTATATAGCTTGTTAAATTTCTTCTTTTTGCAAACGTTATACTTTTATTAAAACATCAATATTACTACACAAGAACAAAATTATTAATAGTTATAAATAAAATAACACAATAAATAACAAAAATTAATCTTTTAGCCTACCTGGAATGATATATTTTTAGGATGATATTCGTTGTACAGAAACACAAAAAGTAAACAAATAACAAATAATATAAATTATTATTAATAACATAAATAACATAATAAAAAACATGAAACAAATAAATTGTTTTAGCGTGCCTGGAACGATACATTTGTTAGGATGATATTTGTCGTACAAACACACAAAACATACATTTTTTTATATCGTTAAAGAGTCACAAAACTCTCATCTATGCTTATATGAGAGAGTTGATAATCACTACAATTAGGTTAGAGGATCTATCGCACTCAAAGAATTCCTTAAATTATCGAAAGACGAGCTACATCATCGAGGAAACATCAACTGATCTTCCTTGTAACAGAATAGCAGAATTTATCTTTAATTATTAATATATATAATTTTACTTGTATATTTCTTATTTATAATCAATATCGACCAAACCGGATATCAATATCATTTGTGAAATTACGTCTTGTAAAAATGCTATAAAAATTCATTCGATATTGCATCATCAGTTATCTGTGCAAAAAAAAATTTTTCAAAATGATAACATACACATGGTTTGTGTCACAATTGAATGAAGAAAAACCAGTTTTCTTAAACGTGAACCAAGTCTGCTTCCCTGTGAAAGATTTGAAATTTTCGGGTACATGTACGAAGCCTACATTCATAAAAATTTATGATTCGTGTTTCCATACAACGAATATCATCCTAAAAAATGTATCGTTCCAGGCAGGCAAAAAGATTAATTTTTGTTATTTATTGTGTATTATTTTATTTATAAATATTAATTATTTTTCTTGTGTAATAATGTTGATCTTTTAATAAAATAATAAAGTTTGTAAAAAGAAGAAACTTAACACGATATATAATACAAAAATGCACCCTTTTTTTATTACAGTGGGTATAAAAAGTATTTGTACAGCAGTGAGTTTGAACAAAAATTTTGTATAACTTTATTTATTACAAGAAAATGTTAACAACAAATACATATACATATTCTTAGAAATCTCTAACATGAATGTTATAAAAAAAAATTATGTATTTATATTGGTTATGAAAATATCATCAATTATCTGAAATCGGCGAAAAATACACGAGTAATAAGTATTTGTACAGTTCTTCATTTACAACAAAAATTATACATTTTAATACCTAAATGTAATAAAGGAGCAATTTATTTACTATCTTAGTATCTAGTGGTATTCCCTTTAGATTATATAATCGCTTTAAGTCTTTGTTACATCGAATTTACAAACTTCCTGGTTTTAATAGTGGGAATCATATTCCATTCTTCTAATTGTAAGAGTGCTTTTTTTAAAATCTTTTTTTGGAAAAATGTGATGATGACAAATTTTCTCTTCAAGATAACCCTATAAATGTTCTGTAACATTCACGTTTGGAGATTGAGGTGGGATTTTAATTGGTTTGATACATTATATAGAATTCATTGTCTCATATTGTAAGCATTGTGCTTTGGATCATTATCTTGTAATAAGACAATTGTCCTGTAATCCAATTTTATTTGCACTAGGAAAATGTTGTTTCCAAATATTAACATACAATTTATGGTCCATGATACCACTGACAAAATGCAGAGATCCAACCCTGTTTGCATTTATGCAGCCCCAAACTATGGCCGACCCACCTCCATGCTTTGCAGTTGCCTGCAAATTATTTTTTTTATAGGCAGTATTTTTTTTTTATACAGTACATCGTCCATCCGACTCAAATATATCAAATTTACTTTCATCAATAAATATAACACGATTCCAGTAATCTATAGGAATATTGGCATACTCTTCAGCAAATTCTAATCGTTTTATTAACTTCATTGATGAAATATTTTTTAAGGACTACTCTGCCATGATATCCTGTAGCTCATAACAAATTACACATTGTACTGCACACATTAATATTAAGGTTATCTTTAAGTTCAGCAGCTATATTTACTGCACTTATTTTGGGATTTTGTTTTATTGTTTGAATTATCCATAGGTCAGTGCAGTCATTTATTTTACGTTCACATCCGTTTCTTGGATTATTTTAAAAAATTTTTCGGTTTCCATACATGTCAATGATCCTTGAATCGTGGACCGTGGTCTATTTACAATTTAGGAAATTTCACTTATGTTAGTATTTTTTATTATTATTATTATGTGAATTTATAATCATTTTCCTTTCTTCTTCAATGGTTTCTTGACCATTTCGCCTTATTTTACGGTTATTGCTGTTGACTGTATATGAATTCGGAACAGTGCTTGTATTTACAACATCTCTAGATATACTGACCCTAGATATGTTGATATGAGATGTATTATCTTGTATTTATCCCACGTACAATGTCATGAATCAAGGACTGCACGAATACTTATTACGCGTGTATTTTTCGTTAATTTCAGAACAGTTGCTGATATTTTCATAATAAATATAAATACATAATTTTTTTTTATAACATTCATTTTAAAGAATATGTATATGTATTTGTTGTTAACATTTTCTTGTAATAAATAAAGTTATATAGAGTTTTTGTGTGTTCAAATTCACTGCTGTACGGATACTTGTTACACCCACTGCATATTTTTTATAAAATTAATATAACATACTCTATTATTATTATTATTATTATTATTATTATTATTATTATTATTATTATTATTATTATTATTATTACTACTATTATTATTATTATTATTAACTGGCATTAGAAACTCGAAAGTTCATTGCCGCAAATACCAAATCCAGCCAGGTGTGCCTGTCCCTGAGCGTGACCCTTCCATTCGCGGTTCTCGTATCCTATTACCTTAAGATCCCTTCTAATATTGTCCTCCCATTACGTTTTGATCTGCCCAGTGGTCTTTTCCCGTTAGGCATACCGATCAGTATTTTACACGCTGTTCGCTCCTCACCCATGCGCTCCATGTGGCTTGCCTATCTTAATCGGCGTGATTTTATAACGTTAATAATGTTCGGTTTATTATACAATTGGTGCAATTCAACGTTATGTATAACATACTCTATAGAAATAGAAAAATAAAATAAAATAAATTAAACATACTTGGCAATAACAAAAATATATAAAAAATAAAAAAATAAAAAAGTAAAAAAAAAAATAACTTTCCTTGCCGAAAAATAGATCCGGTGACATCAGAGATACATGACCACGCTGCTACCTATTACGCTACCGAAGAAAAATAAATAAATAAATATTGGTTGAAGATCTAATTTTTTTTAAATACAATGTATATTTTCATGGACTACTTCAAGTATGCGAAATTTAAAAATGTCTATGTATCTTGCACTCCAGTCTCCCCTTGTTAGAATTTAATTAAAAACAATAATCTCGAAATATCATTAAACATCACAAAAATGGAATATATTAAAAAATGCATTTAAGAAACACTGATTCAAATTGCGTTCCAAAGTTTTCTCATTAATTCTGTTCCGCATTCTATTGTAAATTAATAAATTTATCCTTTAATACTTAAAACTCTATCTCTGAGACTGTTCCATGTCACCTGTACTGCTACCACCAGCTGCCTCGTCTAAAGTGTTATCATCTAATGACAAAAATATTACATTACCATTACTAAATTTTTGATAAAAATATAAAATATTTAATATTTTACCAGGTGAAGGAGATCCCTTAACTCTGCAGGTATTATAACTACCACAATTCAAACATTTTAATCCAACAACATGATATTTCACAGTAGATTCCTAAAACAACATTTTCATGTAGTAATAATATCATTCCTTTTATGCCGCAGTCAGGAATGTGCAAATGAGTTAAAATATGTATTGAACATTTATTTTTCCTCCTAATATTATGTAAAAATGACAAATATATATATTGCATAATAACAATGTTATATTTTAAACATAATTCATGAATGAGCATTGAATATGTTTTGTTTATATGTCAGAGGTATAAATATGTATTCATGAGTTTGATAAAGAGAAAATTCATTTAGCAAGAGTAATTATTGAAAGACAGTGTCTCACAAGCATGTATCACACGCGTTATAATTGTTTCTTTAGATTCCAATAATATAATTGCAATTTCATAAAGTTTATTTAATATAAGTTTATTTTTTTCTTATTTTTTTTTTTTTTTTGAATTATTGACATGACAAGTTTATACCATATTATAGTCAAAGCATACAGTGCATTGTTGACCATATCAATTCAAAAATTGAAAGAAAATATATGAAGGGCAAAGTTTTCAACAAGAATCATTTTTAAAACAATTGAAAACCAATGATCATGCATGTAATGCACTTTTAAAGCCAGGCAATAACGGAAATTCAAATTATGATAATTAATTTTTTACTTTTTTAAATACAAAATTATAGTTAGATAGTTGTCAGTTCTTATAATTTGCATAGAATTATTGTCGTTATTACTCTCTCTCTTTCACGAATTAACAACATCCAAATATTAACTGTACCTGTCGTTGCTTAACTTTACTGATCAAATGAGAACTAATTTTTTCAGCAAAGAGAAACCATTGACATAAGAAATTAGGGGCTAATATTACTCCAGTATTCGAAAAAATAGGTTATTTTTGAGAATTCATTGTGGTAATATAGTAAGTGCAAAGCAAAATTCATTTATAAACCTTTATTATATATGTTACGGGCAATGCGTATAATTAGCAGATATTTCATAAATGCCCCAGTTATTCTACAGAACGTCTAGAAAGTTTTTGATTAATCTATAAAGTATACCTCAGTTTGCAGTGCTTAGAGCATGGGAAAGAAGAGGAAGCGATCTCAATATAGTTTGTCCGTTGTCAAACAAGCTTCAATCGGATATAGATACGGTTCGAATGTTCTCAAAAAATGGATAAACGTGACAGAGATCAACATCGCTAAGAAAAAATAAGCTTAAAGGAGAATCCATATCCGATAGAAACTCGCTTGACAACGTACGAACTATCATAGATCTTTTATTTCCAGAACATTCGCTGTTTTTTTGTTTCTGCACTCTCATAATCTGTCGTGGTTTGTTACACAGTAAATAGTGGGAGATCACTTACCCACCCCCACCTCTACACCCGTAATCTAAACACAGTGAAGCACAATTTATAGATATTATTTATAGATATTATTTATAGATATACTTTCTAAGCATTCTATTGAATGACCGAGCAATTTGGGAAATACATTATTCACATTATGCTCATTATATACATTACCCATAACATAATACTTTCAACATTAAATTTTTCTATTGTAAGTTGTCATTAGGGACCCTAATTGTCATAAAACGACAGCGCCACAGCTCGGCAAAATGAACCTCACATCGAGAAACGTGTGTTCCGCAATACTTCAACAGTTCACGACGTTGTGTAGGGGAGAACGAAGAGGATTTTTAAAATATCATTTATTTTATATATAAAAATATTAAATATTTATCTTTGGATATAAAATATCGCGAGAAATTGTTCATAAAAAATATTTTACTAGATAATGTGAAATCTCTGCATCTTTTCCTAGCTAAAGTAATTATATTGTTCTAGTATAATTTTCAAGTGAATTAATATAATGAATTGTTAAAGTTTTGTAGAATACTATTTCTTGATGTGAAGTTCGCTTTTCCGAACTGTGGCACTTCCATTTTGTAACGACTTGCAATGGAAAAATTTGTTAATATTGTTAAAAGTGTGTATAATAAAAGTTTGCTAACGAATTTTGTGTTGTACTTATAATTTTCCCATAAAAAATTTTCAAAAATAGGCTATTTTTTCAAACACTAAAATAACATTATCTCTCAATATCAAAAATAAAAGTTATTTTCCTTAATTTATTTTATAAAGTGTCATTATATTAGAATTATAAATGTGATTTATAATTCAAAGTGAGAATAAAAAAATCAAAATTTATTATAAAGTTATACTAAAATATGATGTAAAAACTGAAAGAAAATTTCAAAAACTTTGATCTCGACAATTATTCTATTATTGTTCATGTTATGTGTCATATTATCACTATTAACTGATTTGCAAATTCGTGTCTTTGGCATAAAGCAGTCAACATAATATTTGATATTGCAAAATGCGCATATGAAGATATAATAATAGACATTATAAAATACATATATTTCAAACACTATAAATATTATTACATACCTCGTGACAATCTTTACATAAAATATCTGCCTTATAATCCCTATATTCTTCTGGCATTGGTGTTAAAGATACTTCCATATCAAGAAATCTCCATAGGTCTGTCATATCTAAAAGAGATACCTGACACGTAGGACAAGCATAATGACCAAAATGTAACAATTCCTCAAAACAAGTTCGATGAAGCAAGTGCCCGCAACCTGGGATATGACAAGGAATCCGACTTGTGTGAATATCCTCTAAACAAACGGGACAGTTTGCATGTGATACATTTTCCACACACTGCAATCAAAATTACATTTATATTATTATATCAATGACCAAAGAGAATTGTTAAAACAAATTGTATCAATATTTATATATATATATGGAGAGTGGGGAGGGGGGGCCAAGTGATCTTAAACTCTTGTAAGTGAAACAAACCACGAAAGATGTATGTTCGTACAGTCATGAAAAGATTTTCACTTTCCATACTGTACACGCACTCACGTATTCGCTTCTCAATTGCCTGTTTCTGTTAAAAGTTTAGTTGTTCTCCCTTTCAACCCTCTGTGGGTCGAATTTTTGTTATAAATAAGAACAAATTTTTTTAACTGAAAATCATCAATTATAAACATATACAGGATATCTAACATAATTCTTTTTACAATTTTTCAAGTATTTGCGATAACCTGACGAAAAAATACTTTAATGAAAAGTTAATCTATTTTAGATTGACTATACATTGCAATAAAAAAAAGTTTGAAAAAAAAATTTTTTTTTTATGTTAAGACTACCTTCATTTTTTTTAAATAGCACCCTATATTTTTGACCTTACAGTATTATAACCCGTATTAATATGAATTCAACGAACTAGTATATCATGACTTTTGGATGACCTTGAAAACAAAGAAATAAATAGAAATGGACGATAATAACTTGTAGTTATTATCAAAAGACTCGAAATTACATTCAATTCAGAAACCTTGACTAAATGTTGTATATTGCTAGAAACTTAACTACTAACTGTCGACAATTCACAACAAAGAAAAAATTAATATGTAAGGTCAAAAATATAGGGTGCCATTTAAAAAAATAAAGGTAGCCTTAAAAAACATAACAAAAAAAATTTTTAAACTTTTTTTATTGCAATGTATAATCAATCAAAAATAGATCAACTTTTGGTGAAAGTATTTTTTTGTCAAGTTATCGCAAATACTTTAAAAATCATGAAAAGAGTTATGTAAGACACCCTATATATGCAGATGGAAAAAAAATTGTCCGGTATAAACAATTTTATTACAATAAATTCAATATGTTACTTTCAGATAACAACAGCCCATAATGTCTCTCCACTTCTGCGTAGAAAAACTTAAGTGTGAAATTCTAAAAAGTAGTTTGCATTTATCCTAAATCTATCCCTATAGTATATTTATAGCTCTTCCATAAAAAAACTGATAAACATAGTCAGGAATTGTTAGCTGCAACAAATTCTTCAACTTATTCCGGAACATTTAACGGAACATACAAGCTTGATCATAAATATACAGAAGAGTCCCTTATAGGCCACTGTTATTTCAAAGTAACAGAATTGTGACATAAAAAAAAGTAACAAAATGATATTCGAAGTGTAAAAAAATAAGTTATTATTGATATTCAAACTCAGAACTATTATATACATAATTTTCTCTTCAGTAAATAAAAGCAAAAATAATATCAATTGGAAAAAAAAGGTTTGCTTGCTTCGACTGCAGACAGCTTGTACAACACTTATTTTGCTATTTTAGGTTGATTAAACTAGCATAACTAACCGTTATGAATATAGTACTAGTTGTTTTTGAGACTTTATAAAATTAAGATGTATATGCCATCTCATTAAAAAAACTAAAATTATTTAGTAAAATGCCAAAAAACTAACATGTTACCTGAAAATAACACTGACTCATAGAGGATTAAGATCACTTCATCTTCTCTCTCTCTTCTATGCTCTAAACATCCCACTGAAGCACATTTTAAAGATAGACCGAAATATATTCCTAATATTATGTAAATATTTTTAACCCATTCCCGTACTTTAGCGAGTCTGATTCACAATAAAGATTTTTGCCCAAACATGAATATCGCGATTCTAACTCGTGACCAGATACTTGGGCCAAACGTAAACATAACAAGCCGAGCTCGCGGACTGCCCGTTACGATTGTGACCTCATGTACACATAGTACCTTATGACAGTACTTCATGATAGTTAGTCACGATTCAAACTTCGTCAACAGCAGTAATTTGACTATACCACAGGTATCGCCGGCATCTACATTTTGGTTCGTTTTGCGACTGTTTACAAATATCACTCTAGTCTGTTTAGCTAAATTTCAAGTTAATTTTAAGTTAAATTTCCATAGTTTGTTTAACTTACACAAGTTCAAAAACACTTCCCTTTCCTCTTCCATGCTCTAAATACAGCAAACTAAAGCATATATTCTAAATTGACCAAAACCCTCTTGCCTAGAATGCTTGGATTCTCAACATTGACTGTAGCATATATAAAACATAAGTATTGAAATATATACCGTGTGACCATTTTGTAGCTGAATAGGGAGACACATATTGCACTTGGCACAATGAAAAAATCTATCCCGTCCACCAACTCTGCATATTCCACAACCATCGCAGTGGTATTGATTTTTATCTTCATCATCGAAAAGATTGCATTCTAAACAGGTATATTTTCCAAAATGGCAATGACAGTTTTGACAGGTAGCCTGTACAGGTTGACGAGTATCGCAAAGAACACATATTAATTCTGTTACTTCTTTTCTATTCACAGTATGTGTTTCCTGTTCATCATGACAAAACCGACATGTATAAACCTTATTGCAGCAAGGTGTCTATAAGAATAAAATGACAGATTATAAAACTAATTTATTGTAAGAACCAAATAGATAATTCTTTTATACTTTCTTTTCTATTAAACTTAATTAATTACTTTACATACGTATATGTAGAAGTATATTAATGCTAAATTATGAAATACATATATAATTGAAAGATTATTAAAAATCAATACATTTTACAAAACATGATATCCATTATAAAAATACAAAAAGACATTCTAAAAAGACATTACCACAAACTTCGATTTTCGTTTATAGTGCTCACAGCCGTAATCATCCTCGGATGTTGCAGTCGACTCGTCTGCCGAGATCGAAGTACGACTTTCATCTGTGGAAGTAATAGAAGGATTCTCTTCCGAAGGTGATGCACGATGTGCCTTTTCAGAACGCGTCGAATTTTCCTCTCTCTCAGAATTATCGCTAGACGACGCGGCCTCGCCATCAATGTTCTCCACAACACGCACTTTTTCGCTATTCTCCATTGCGTTACTTCCTCTTTTTCCTCTTGCTCCTCTTCCTCTTCTTCTTCTTCATCGACCTGCTCCTCCGTCGTTTTCCTATCCAGCAGATCTTCCACCACCGACTTCCACGCCTCGATGATGGATCACGGTTTCTTTGCTTAATTAATATGCTCCCTTAAACGTATTATTTAAAATTGACAATCTTCTGCACAGGAATTTAAAAAATCTCCATTTCTACCTATATCTTTTCCTCCATTTCTTCCTTTACTTGTCTCCTACACACCTATTAACTTGTATTTTTTCCTTACTGTATTTCTACACGTCTCTCTCTCTCTCTCTTTTTCTTTCTTCCTCCCTCCTACACCTTATTTCTTTCTCTTTTTTTTTATAGCAATAAAATACACAATACTATTAAGAGAGTGTATATCACAATATATTCCTTATATAATAAAAACTTATAACTTTGACGTTTTACACAATACAAATATTGTTCACTGTACAGAAGGTTTCATATTTAAAGAGAAAGAATTTGTATAGTCATTGATATAGATAAATAACGATAACGACGCCACTGTCGTCATTCAATTCGCACTTTTCGTTAATCGATCAATATGTTACATTGTTTTGTGCAATAATAATCTTTGCTCACTATGGATACAGTTATGAGACTCACATAAATTTACATCATTATTTTGTATACGTTGGTTCTACTTGCTAATAGTAATCTATATGAAAATGTTGTTTTTGCAAATAATGTAATTTATGGCTGTAAAAAGTAAACATCTTACAATAAATTAGTATCAGAATATATTTGAATCATTTTAAATGTAATATTTGCCTAATTTAAGACAGTACCGGTTATCTGTGTATCATCCAATAAGATTACAATTACGACAAATAGGATTTCATGAAAATCAAGCGGTAGTAATGATCCATTTAAAAATATTTCGAAAGTGTTACGGCCTAACTATTTATTTGAATTTTGTTATAACGAAAAATATAGCTAAAATAAGTAGATTGTTACGATTGTATATACATATATACAAATTTGTGATTGAGTAAACAATACACACACTTGAGATAATATTGTAAGTGCGGTGCATTTCGTATGTTGACATATCGACAAGAATATGTAAACAATCTTTCATCATTTATTATATGTTATTAATAAATTGTAATAGAATATAGAATTGTAGTGCTTGAAAAAATGAAATTTAGATGCAGAATGATAGACGTTACAGCTATGCGAGACTTTACTAGTAAGCATTTTTCTAACCTTATTTTTTATTTTGTAAACATATATTGAAGTGTTAATTATTCGTTAAATAAACTTCTGTTTGTAAAAAATGTCAGAAAAATTGTAAATATAATAAAGCTACACGAAAAATTTTAATCCAATAAATGTTTTAAAATAAAGCGATGGTGAAATTTGACGAAAATGATGATCTGAAGTAATGGTTTATCCAAAAATATCTAACTATATAATATTAATTGTTTTCAGATATTGTCAGTATTATTTCAAAGATAGCAAAACAATGCATCTTACGAATAACTACGGAGGAAATTTCTTTCAATATCGGTTGTGATAGTATACCTGTACTATGGGTAGAATTATCTCAGAGCCATTTCTTTATCGAATATATCATGAGTGGTGTTTCCGAAAAGCAGAATGAAATTTATTTAGAATGCGAGGCGGCGATGCTTGCTAGGAGTTTGAGTTCTCTTCGTCTAAATTCGAAGAGTGTCAAAATAAAATTAACGAACAAACTTCAACCTTGTCTTACTTTTGAAATGGAATTATCTTCTTCAACTGTAGAATCACGACAATGCGTTCACGATGTGCCAGTAAGAGTTGTACCACGAAAAGAATGGACTACTTATAAAGTTCCTAATATATCAGAATTTGATGTAAGTTTTCTTTTACACTTAAAAATAAATCTTTATATTAATCAATCATCTTATTATTTCAGATATCCATAGACATGCCACTACTTAAAAATTTACGCAATATTGTGGAAAGAATGAGAAATATGAGTTCACATTTAACATTAACAGCTGATAAAACTGGAATGTTTATTTTAAAAGTTGAAACCGATAGTGCAAATGTATCGGCAAACTTTCCAGGATTACAAGTTTGGTCTTGTAGCCAAGTTGAAGACAGAATAATATCTGCTACGATAGATGCCAAAAAATTGTTAATCTTTTTAGCTTGGGATATAGTTCATCCTAATTCTGTAAGGTGTAATATAATAGAAAATAAGATAGTGAATTTATTTTTAGATTTAGCAGGGTATTTGAAAGTTCGTTACTTTGTTCCTGCAATTACAGTATAACAATTAATTAATTAAATTATAAGGTATGAAATAAAAAACATATTTATTTTACTTTTTTTTTAGATTAAGTTTTTTCTCTCAATCTTCTTCAAAAATATAGAAGATATGATTGTTTCTGTGTTTTAGAAATTAATCATAGACATGTAGAAAAACATTTGCTAGAATTAATTGTAAGCTAAATTGAAACTTCGTTCGTTTTCTTGTCTAAAGTTTTGATGCATTTGATCAATCTGTTGTATTTTTTGAGTTAGAAGAGCTGTTCTTTGATCAAGCCATTGTAAACTGTTCATGTGTGCATTTAAAATCTTGCTAATCTGTACAATTGGATCACTAGAATCTTGGATTCGATTGGCTTCGTTCAGATGTTCTATTATTTCTTTTAAATCTTCCGACATCTGTTTTAATTGAGTATCAATACTCTCTGCCAGACGATAAGTGTATTCTCTTTCTGGATCTGAGACAGACAATGACGCTAATTCTTTTTCAAGTGGTACTAAACAATCTTGTAGTTCTTTTTGCTGACCAACCTAGCAAATCAAAATAGACATTTAGACTACATTTCTCATATTACAATAATTTATACAATTACCAAGATAATAATACATACAACATAGTCTAATTCATGTTTTAATTGTTGTTGTTCGAGTTTAACTCTTTCAACTTCCTGATTCAAAGTTACTATTTTTTCTCCATTGGTTATAAGTAATTTGTCCCACACATTAACTTGTGTTGCTTGATTTACAAATACTTTTTCTTGTTCTTCTAATTCTAAAGTCCATTTGTTAATAGACTCCTCAAGTTGACAAAAATTAATAGCTCCTGGTTGTACAGCATTAGAAGAGGAACTAACTCTAAAAAAGATAGACAATAATATTCATTTATATTAATATATCTATTTTTATAACTTTACAGCATGATACATGTATTTACTTACGTTGTTGTAGTTCCTAAAGTTGTATGAGTAGTGACACTTGCAATGCTTGAAGACGCAGTAACAGATGTTGTTTTGTTCAATATAAAACCATTAGTACTTGATGCAGTTGTACCAAATGTGAAGATAGGTGCAGCTGAAGTTGTTGTAGTTATACCTAGAGAAAATCCTGCAGCTGAGGTAGTGGCAGATATATTAGTTATTCCAAATCCTGCAGTAGTGAATGGTGTAAGGGTAAATCCTGTTTGTGTCGTAGACGTTTTTGTTGCATCTTGAAAAAATCCTGTTACAGTAGGTGTTGTTGCAGTAGCACCTCCAAAAGTAAAAGTAGGTGTGGTAGTAGTTGTAACAGTAGTTGTGGTGCCACCAATATTAAATCCAGTTATACTAGGTGTTGCAGAACTTAATGTTCCAAAAGTTAGACCAGTCGCTGCAGACGTTTGCACACTTTCGCTACCTGTGAGTACTGTAGACGCCTGTGCCTGTGTAGTAAATCCTGTAGATGCTACAGTAGCAGGAGTACTAGCATTTGCCGTAGAAATAGCTAATGTGGATGAACCAAATCCTCCAAATCCCGTAGTCGGATTAGTCGTTATAATATTACCATATGTTGCTCCTATAGTAGGTACAGAAGTGCTTGATGTAGTACCAAACGTAAAACCTGTACTTTGACCTGGAGTAGTTATTCCAGATCCGAAAAGACCTCCAGGTTTATTTGGAACGGGTGTAATCGTTAATCCAGGTGTTATTTGTTTACCTGCATCTCCAGCTCCAGCAATGCCGAATGTGAAACCTAAAAATGTTTTTACAATCATTAACGATAAATATATAAAGTTTTATATATATTTATATAATATATAAGTTATTTTTCTTAATATTGTGTTAAAACTATGATCGCGTTTTTTCTCTTTTAATAATTGTTCAAAAATGAAAAGCTGATATATATATACTTGTTGGTGTAGTCATATTCGTCGTGGTTGTTGCATTGCTTTGAGTTTTTGAAGCATCGAATCCAAAATTCATATTTTATGTAAGATTACACTGTTTAACTCGTTAGCACAATAACACTAATCTTTTTCTCGTTTAATTATAAAGGAAACAAAGCTAAATTAGTTTTAAATATTGTGCAGTCCATCGGTCTAAAATAAGTAATAATAAAATTTAAAAATTTATAAAGACAAACTATTAACATACGTCACTTTTCGTTTTTACATAAATTCAATAGCAAAGGAACCTATCCCATCTATTTCTGTTGCATATCACACTGAAGCGTGGAAAAACTGTTGCCAACTTAAAATACGATTTATTCTATTATATCTAGATAGTAAAGTTGCATGAGAAATTGATTACTTGTAGTTGACCAATGAGCATTTTCCTGAGAGTAGTATAGCGAATGTGTCACGAGAGGCAGCACTCGTAGTAGGGACAAATATAGCGATCCCATCCGTACGATAATTTGAGGCCCTGTACGATCCAAAATTCGTGGCGTACGATCCATTTGGAATTTCGAAAACTTGATGACCTTTTTTTTTTTTTCTTTTAGTCAACAAATTTTAGAAAGGTGCACCCCCACCTCAACCCTCACTCCCACCCTCACTCCCACCACCACCACCGCCACCACCACGATCTCCCAGCGGACGATCGTTTTTATCGTTTTCATGATAGGGTTTGGGAACTTGATGAGTAAAAAAAAAAGTCATCAAGTTTTTTTCTCCTAGACTTGAAGATTTTCCCGTGCAGCTATCGAACCGCCGATAAGACTAATTGATTAGTTAACGTTTTCTACTTAAAAAAAAAAAGGTTATCAACTTGAAAAAGTTGGAACTTGGACACTTTTCCCACTTTTTGAAAATTTTGTCCGAGATTGTTGGATTTTTGTCGGATTTCAAATTTTCCCGGGGTGTACGATAATTTTCTGCCGCGTACGATAATTTTACGCCCCTGTGTCGATCAGACGAACTAAAGTCTCTGGGATCACTGAACATAAAATATTTTCATTTAAGACAGTGTTATTTACGCTATATTATTTTATTATTTAAAAATAATATTTAAATACAAAAAAATTTTTTTAATAACCGCTATGCCAACAAAACATTGTAGTTTTGCGAGGTGTACGTCGGATAATCGCTATCCAGAGGAAAATGTGTTTTTTATACCATTTGTAAAACCTCATATTGACGAGGTTAGATGCAATAAATGGATACATGCGTCAAGGAGAGTGGATTTAACAGCAGAAAAAATTAATAAATATTCATATGTGGGCTCAAAACATTTTATCGGTGGAAAAGGTCCAACTGTAGAAAATCCTGATCTTGTTTCTGCAACGATTAGCAAAGTAAGTAATAATAAAATTTATCTGAAAACGAATATTTGCAATTGGAGTAAAAATAAATTTGTTCATGAAATTTTATTGATTTCTTAAGCTCGAAAATTAATTAATGTCTGTCAGAGTTAAAGTCATAAATAATTGGCAATTTTATTACTGGAATAATAAATAAATTAAAAATAATTTTCTTATCTGTTTGAAAAACRTTTTATAGTAACAAATTTATAATTTTTACAGGTRCCAAAGGCAYGAAAAAAACGACTTTCAACATCAACAATTGATTYTCTGTGCAGTCSAGACCAAAAATCAAAAAGAGGCAAAGATGCTAACTYAGATTTTTTCATTCCAAGTCAACAAAATGATACTCAAGATATTTCAGTAGACGACTATTTAACTCCTAAATTTACTGAACCACCACCAAGTGACAAAGAGCACACCAATCAATATGTAGCTCATGCAGAAAGTCAAACTTGTATAGAAGTTGAAAATATTTTTGTGAAAAAACTACAAAATGAAATTGAAACACTTATGAAAAAATTAAGTGCATCTACCCTTAACTATGAATCATGTATAAATGACAGTAAGAAGTTTAAGTTTTATACAGGTCTTATGCCAGAAGATTTTGATATTGTGTGGAATTTCTTAGGACCGCCAACTGAATCATCACTGAGGATCTGGCACTCGCAATCAGAAACTAATAACCGCATAACGATAAAGCAATTTAAAGTATTATCGTTAAAAAATCAACTTTTTTTAACCCTTGTGAGATTAAGATGTGGTTTTTTATTGTACGATTTGAGTTGTCGGTTTGGTGTGAGTATGAGTTATATTTCAAAAATAACAACAACATGGATCCAATTAATGTATTGTAAATTTAAACAACTAAATCGTTACCCCTAGTTTTTTACTAGAGTTTGTATACTAACCTGTAAAATAATTCATTTTTTTCCGGTAACTTTTAAGTTACGGCACGCAAGCCAACGTTTTAATGTGACAAAATTATTGTCTTTTACGGTTGCAAATTTTAATTTTGTTCCAGGAACGTCGTCTTCGGTCAAAAACATGTTTTTTATAAGTCCACTTTACTATGTTTTTAAATGGAGCTCTGACAGTGTTTGTCCCTACCGAACTACTAGCGCTGCTAGTGAGTAATTTTTCGTACTTCAGGAAAAAGGCTCATTGTTTACTTTTATATTCTCTTGAAAATTACCCAATTTTATGCACTCTTTTTCCCCCTGTTGTTCTCTGATGTTCTGAAATATGATTTAATTACACTGTCAATCTTCCGCTAAGTTTATTTAATTATTGTTCACATTAGCTGGTTCAATGCCTCGAGTTTTCTCCCTTAGAGTATCGATCCTTACCAGGTATCGATAGTGCTTCGAGACGCTACCGCGAGCTGCTACTACGACGTGGTCGCCTGTTGCTACTACGACGTGGTCGCCTGTTGAGAATTAGGATCACGGAGGATAGATATCAGGAGTCCAAACGGTATAAGAACCTTGTACATCTTTTTAATTTGAAATATATACATTCAAATGATTTGAAGTATATCTATCTTTTTTAATCTTCCTTTTGTACAATTTACAAGACATCGTTTTTCTTTGAAAAGAAAAATTATTCTGAATATTCCACATATGATGACTGTTGCTTTATTCATATTTGTGACACTCAAATATCACGTTCAAATTCTATTCTTGTTTCTTTTCGAATGATTAATATTGTTTCAAGATTTGTGTTCATGTTCATAAAGGTACTTGTAAACAAGATCATATCGTTAACTTGACTTTTCGTACATTGATGTTAACGCTATAGGGACAACCGAAAGTCCCTAACATGTTCGCGAATAGCGATGTAGCCACGAAGCCTGGATACAGTGATCCCAGAAACTTTTGCTTGTCTGATCGAAACAGTGCCGTAAAATTATCGGGTTCTCAGTAAAATTATCGTACGCACAGAAAAATCAGATCCGATTTTCTGAAATTCCAGATTTTAGGATTTTAAATACTGCAATTTTTTTTTTTTTTAGTCGTCTTGGCTAAGAAATATCCGCGGTATTCATAGTCCGGTCTCAAGACAATCCTTAAGATTATCTTAGCTAAGCTCGTCTTATAGCTTTTAAGACTACATGTATTCATAGAAATACATTAAGATGATCTTAGGTAAGATTTTTGTATCATGCGTGACTTAAGCTTAGCTTTGATAAGATGACGCTTAAGATAATCTTTATTTATATTCGTCGATTTCCGTAATAATTCTCATTTATCCGATAATTTGATTCGCTTAAAATGTATCATACACACACACACACACACACACACACACATATATATATATATATATATTATATTATATTATATTATATTATTCAAGGTATTTTATAATAACAAAGATAAATTTAATTTTTTGTATAAGCACAAAAAAAAGTGCAATTGTTAGTTATTAATAAGTTTAATTACAGTTTTAAGACACATTTAGTTTATATGCAAATGGCAATAAATGTTATTATTGAATAAGAAAATAAGAAAATTACTACCAATATTTTATTAAAGCAATGAATACATTATAATACCAGAATCGCAGATAATAAAATACAAAAATATTTTTCCAATATTTTACGATTTTTTTTTCATAATTGTATTCCAAATATTATACATTATTTTACAAATTTATCATTTAAATATACAATTGCAGATCATTAAAAGTTACGTTCAATAAAAAAAAATAATATGTACGACTTCTTAATAGAGTAATTTTTCATTACTATTAACAATTACAAATGATTTCATTATGTCTGCTTTTGAAAAAGTAGAAAATTATGTGATAAAATAAAAATAGATTTATATAATTTTTATGCATTAAATATATGCTCAATTAATGCTTCACGAAATGCAAAACCATCAGCAGGTTGCCAATTTGGTTCAGGTACATGTACGTCTTCATCTTGTTCTTCATCTGAATCATCGTCTGGTAAATTATCATTAAATCTTAACGACATATTATATAATACAACAAAGGCTACAACAATTGTGGTTGAACAAAGAAGTTTGGTTGTTAATCCTCTTGATAAACAAAGAAATCGTCGTTTCCATACACCGTAAGTTCTTTTCACTATGTTTCGTGTCCTACTCTGAATGTTATTATACCTGTATCAAGCAACGAAAAATTAATGAATTAATAATTGTGTTACGCTGTGGAATGAAAATTTAATAAAAGAAATGAATCTATTAAGAAAATGTATGAATTTTTAATCTATTTAAAAATAAATAACAGCTATAAAATTACTGACGTGATTTCTTCGTCCGTTACTGGGTTATTGATTGGTGTCATTAAGAACGGTAGACATGGATATCCAGCATCACCAACTAATATTTCATTTAGCTGATGTTCTACATATCTCATGTAAATTCGAGAATTTTGAAAAATTCTACTATCATGAGCACTACTAGGCCATTCTGGCACAATATCTAAAAATTCCATTCATGGACCAACAACTGTCTATAAGATATTTTTTAATTAAAATTTTTTGAATTCATCTATCTTAAAGATTTAATGGTGAAAAAAAAATTTCATATGAACCTGTACATTGAGAGAAAAAGTAACCTTTCCGATTTCTGTATATTTCATCGACATTTTGAAATCTTGTATGAACTAATCGTATATGAGTACAATCAAATTGCTCCATCAACACCAGGTATTCCAATAGCTCCCTTACCAAATCCTAGGTTTTTAAAAAGCCTCTGATTTTCTAATATATCTTCTTGAGTTTGTGGCATTTTTATGTAATCATTAAACAAGCTTGCAAGTAAAACACTTACGCGAAAAACTATTCTAGATATTGTTGGTTGGGAAATTGTCATAGTATCACCAAGGATGAGCTGGAAAAACAATTTTTTTATTTTCATTGAAAAATATATTTACTGAAAATTGAAAAATATATATAAATTTTGGAGAAGTAATAAAAATCCGTCATTAACAATAAAAATGTATAATAATCATAACTGATAATTACCTGAAAGCTAGCAGTTGCATAAAATCGCAAACATATTAGCAATTGAAATACAGGTGGAATAGGTAATCCACGATTATTTATTTTAGATAAATTCGGTTCTATTAGTGGTAATATTCCAAACATAATACTGTTTTTTTCAAATCTGTATCGCTTTTTAAATTTAACATCTGAATAAAAATCAAAAGGATCTTGTATATCTCGAATATAACGTTTTGGAGCACGTATAATTATGTCTTCATTATCTGAATCAATATCATCATCAACATTGATATTATGTAATTCCAAAAAATCCATTCTTTACTTGTTTTCACAATTTTTTCAAATTAATTAATTTTTAATTAAAATTGATCTGAATAAATTTAAATTATGATTAATTGATTAACTTTAAACTATCACTTAAACCTTATTTTTGAATTATTATTTATTATTATCAATTAATTATCCTAACCTCAATGTTAACTGAGATGGTCTTAAGTCTACTAAAATGTTGACTTGAAAAAAACTCTCGTTTTGAGTAAAAAGTAAAGTTATTAAGATGATCTTATTTAACTATGAATACATCAACAGTTTGTAATTCTTAAGATCGTCTTAACAGATCGTACACGGATCGTTGTGGTGGTGGTGGGGTGGGTGTGTCTGCCGAATGGGATCACTGCTAAGATCAAACTTTTAAGCATATCTTAAGATTGCGTCTATGAATGTAAACGCTAGCTAAGACTATGCTTAAGGCGGACTTAAGTATAAGAGCGAACTATGAATACGGCGGAATGACTGTAGCCAATCAAAAAATTGCTTTTTCAAACTTTTTGATACATAAATTGAGTGCGCTAGAGTGCACAGCAACCGAATCGCGTAACAAAAACAAAATCAAGACATATCGAAAATTATATTTACATGACGAATAATCGTAAATTATCGTACAAGTTGGATTTAAGATCGTACGTCCGAACGTAATGTTAAAAGAATGGTATCAATTTAGGGGACAAGATATTTTGCCGGTAGGGCGCGCTGCTTCTCACAGAGTACTCGTTTAAATACTTACGCGGGAAGTCTTGTTGCTATTGACAGCTCTGAAAAAAAAATATTTTAAGAAACGTGGAATGAATATTATTTAAAAACTACACAAATGTAATAATCAATTATTTGTTAACATAAAATTTTTAATATTATTTTGAGGTTACTCACTTTTGGTGCTTTGAATAAAGCCACTTTTCCTAAATTCTTACTTTCCTTTCGGCCACTAAGGCAACCATAAACGGCAAACCACTAAGGCAAACCAAAACACATTCATACCATACCAAGTGTCTACACCAGCGCCATTCAGGAAGGTTTTTGAACTGTTATTGACAGAAAACGTTGAACACTTTTTCACGTTTTCTCCCATAAGAGATCCTACTCCTTACTTCTACCCTCCATAATATTAGCCAAGATGTGTAATTGGATAGGTATTCATAGTCATCACTTAAAACGATCTTGAGAATTACAAACTGTTGATGTATTCATAGTTAAATAAGATCATCTCAGTGCTGTCAGATCGTGGGTAAATCTTACCCTCTCCCTGTGCCACTGGGATTGCACACAATGAAAGTTTTCCATGTCCGTGTGTTTGGGATGCGAGGAAAGCCGAGTGTAACCGAAGTTGGCGGTTGGCCACGAAGTGGCACACTATGAAAGCGACTCGTGTCCATGTGTTCGGACCTCTCGATTGTCTTGAGACCGGACTATGAATACCGCGGATATTTCTTAGCCAAGACGACTAAAAAAAAAAAAAAATTGCAGTATTTAAAATCCTAAAATCTGGAATTTCAGAAAATCGGATCTGATTTTTCTGTGCGTACGATAATTTTACTGAGAACCCGATAATTTTACGGCACTGTTTCGATCAGACAAGCAAAAGTTTCTGGGATCACTGTATCCAGGCTTCGTGGCTACATCGCTATTCGCGAACATGTTAGGGACTTTCGGTTGTCCCTATAGCGTTAACATCAATGTACGAAAAGTCAAGTTAACGATATGATCTTGTTTACAAGTACCTTTATGAACATGAACACAAATCTTGAAACAATATTAATCATTCGAAAAGAAACAAGAATAGAATTTGAACGTGATATTTGAGTGTCACAAATATGAATAAAGCAACAGTCATCATATGTGGAATATTCAGAATAATTTTTCTTTTCAAAGAAAAACGATGTCTTGTAAATTGTACAAAAGGAAGATTAAAAAAGATAGATATACTTCAAATCATTTGAATGTATATATTTCAAATTAAAAAGATGTACAAGGTTTGTATATATTAAGACAGCTGTAATGTGATTTCATAATGGCCTTTTTTTAAACGATCATCCTACGCAAAGCAATGATTTTAAAACGTTTTTGCGATTGTATTCCTACGCCGTCATATAATTGTATCATTGCGCCTAAAGAATATACATTTTGCTGTTATGTGATGCATCGTTAATGGCGCCTTTATACATAGACCATTCGAAGAAAAAGACTTGATTTATATGTAGTGTTTGGATAAATTGTGAATATAAAGAAATTTTCGAAATCTGTCATTCAAAATATCTTCGAAGATGTTTATTTTAATGTATATATATATTTATTTATCTGTCTTAGTCAATTTTATTTATTGTTCAAGTTTAACGGCACCACCCTTGTCAGTGTTGATTGTTGGATTTGAAGATGCTTATGATCTTTCTTTGCTTGCAAACACACTCTCGGATCAAGGAATCGACGTGACATTGATCGTACCCGAACAAATTGCTAATGATCTGTATGAGAATCTTATCGATGTCGAAGTTTATCAATTAAAGTCATCTCTCGAGAAGCTTGTTTATCCAGAAGATAATGCCTTGAAATTTTGTGAGAGTTTGCTCAAGGATCAGGAATTATCACGAAAAGTACAGGAATTACAAGCAACGATTACATTGGTTCCTGCTTTGAGGTTAATTGTCAAATTGTTGTTTTCTTTTTTTGCTTTATAGAATGTAATTTTCTTCATCAAATGATTACATTTTTAGACATGATGGATGCTTGTTACCATGGATTAAGTCCATTGAGTCGATACCTGTAATATTAACCAGAAACGCCTATGAAGAAATTTATGCTTTTGAGCGTACTGGTGTTGCTTTGCCAATTTTAAAGGGTGCTTTCTGGTCTAGATTGTCTACCAATCTAGCATGGAGATCTATATCTTCTAATGTTGACAACAATTATGTAACACTAGCTTTTCATTTAATTAAGAAACATTTACCAAATTTACAAATCAGTCAAAATAATCTTTATTCTGATGTACGTTTAGTATTGTGGTCTACAGATAATATTTTGCGAATGGATTTTGCTTCTTTAACGCAAATGTTAGTCGAGGTGAATAAAATTGAATGTTACATATATACACTTCATTATGATTATAAAGATTTATCAAAATTATGTTGCTGTAGATTGGTTGTCATCACTGTAGAGGACCACAACCTCTACTAGAAGAGCTGCAGAAGTTACTTATTGAACACAGACTCGGTTCTATTGTTATTCTTTTGGATGGACATTATAAATCATTGGTAAAAGAGATAGCGCAGAATTTGCCACAAGGTAGACAAGGTCATGCAGTTGTATGGAAAGTTCAAGAGTCTATCAATAATAGCGAGGAAAAACTTCCAGTAAATCTTTATCTTTGGAAAAACGTAGATAGACAAGATCTCATAGGTATAATGAATAATCAAGAAATAGTTTATATTAACAATGAAAAGTAAGAATTTAAAAATTATTAATTTTTAGGTAATGGTCGAACACGTGTTGTTTTGAGTCATTGTGCAGATATCGAACTTTTGGAAATTGCTTTCCATGGTTCTCCGGTAATATGTTTTCCAAGAAATGCACAGGAATCTAAAAATAGCGTACGTGCAGTCGAATTAGGTTTCGCACACTTGATTGACAGCAATAATGATAGAACATCTATCATTACTGAAGATATTATTAGTCTTATTAATACCATTTATTCGTCAACGGATTATCGTGAAAATGCTAGAAGAATTTCCGTAGCGATACGTGATAGATTAAATCCAGCATCGGATAGATTGATTTACTGGCTTCGTTACATTGCCAGAACAAAAGGTGAAAGCAATAAGTTCCTCGTTGCACCTAAGGGCGTAAGTACCTTTTACGAGGATTTTCAATTCTTCCTTGGTCTTTGCACGGGAGCCATCATTGGTGTTTTATTGGCTGTAGTTAGTTTTTTATTGCGATACATTATAATATCGGAGAAAATGCGCAAATCAAAGGGAAGATATGAACGATAAAGTATCTTTTAAGCATTGAAAGTATATGCCTTGTGTAAATCGATTGCAAGACACATAATAGACGCTTTGTCGCATATGTATTTATATAAATGCACATGGATTACAGGTACATACATATACAAATGTTACGAACTATGGTATATCTCATTTCTAACAGAGAGAAGCCTAACTATTTACGAGAAATTGTTTAATTAGTGATTTTAGAAAAGCTAAGAATATAATGCAATATATTATCATAAGGAAAAATAAATGATACAAATTTCTCAATACTCTGCGATCTGTGTGATAACAGTGTGCACAGTAACGAGTTTCTCGTTTGTCTACGCCTTTTATGATAGTCTTATAAACATACGGACGAATAGGGGTATCTAGTATAAACGTATCATTAAAATCGCAGTCCTAATTAAAATTAACAATTAGGTTGTTTCTGTTTGTTTTTTCTTATTTTTATTTTTTTTTATTTCTATTTTTATTTTTATTTTTTCACTTTTTTTTTTATAAAAGGGAAGATGATTTGACGTTGTTAATGTTTACTGATGCATATGGATTGACGTTTTCATTCAATTTCTTTTTTTTTTCAATTTTAGTTTCTAGCGTCAACAGATAAAATACATTATAGTAGTTACAAATGTAAGTAATGTGAAATTTCTTAAGCTTAATAGACTTTCTTTTGCTCGTGGTTAAATCGTTAAGTATATTTTTTTCAATCGCACAAAATTGTCTTACCGATTGCTTCCTATACTTTTTATCAGATATGAATATTAGTTATCACTTGTTATTTAACAGTACTTCATATCACACTCGAAGAATGCGCGCGTGCGTACGCTTAGAGACACAATTTTAACCAAAGGTTTATCGTTCTTTCTTTGGTTATATGATCTTTTAATTGGCTACTGTGAAATAAAAAGTATACAAAACAATATTATATTGAATGAAAATCAATAATACAATTCATATTTTTACTTAAACAAGGATCGATCTTTTGCGCTTTCTGTTTTCTTTCAAATCAATCGAACAAATTTTCTTTATATAAAAGTTGAATCAATATTTTTAAATGAACCTGTAAAATGAGATCGAGGATATACAGATAGAAAGATGTTCTCGATTCGGACTAAATAATAATAACATAATCGAACTAAGGTATCCATTACAAAAGTGTCAATTTTATTTTGTTTTATATTTAATGATGTATATTAATCACTTGAAATTATATGCACGATAAAAGTTTCAAATCACTCGGAGTATTGACCAAAAACAATTAGAATTTATTAGAAATAAAAGTTTTATATAAATAATTAGATTTTCAATTAACATTAAGAGTTAATCATATTAAATATTATAAAAGAATTGTTAAGAAGTAATTAATAATTGTTACATAAATTACTTGTCTACGTTGTAATTATTATCCAATGAAAGTGGAACACGGAAACGTTCGTAATTTAAAATATTCAAATATTGCTAGATTAGGCATATTTATTACTGCTTAAACTAATCAACAAATCTTGGAGAATTCTAGTATCGTTTTGTTTGACATAAGAATATTTAGCGCGGATAAATACATTATACATTTAGGCCGTTTATTTTGAAAGTGGTCCACTTTCTCTTGTTTCGAGAAAATTAAAGATTAGCATATCAATGATTACTCAATTTCTTTTACCGACCAATTTTAAATTGGTTACAACATGGTACAAAACATGGGCCCTTTTTAAGAAATTAAATATTAACTAGTTATCCACATAAAAAGTTTACACTAAATTAAGTATAAATTACGTGATATCTCATTTTTTTAGAAAATGGACTTACACCACTTTCAAAAGAAACAGTCTATTTCTTGGTGAAACATGTCAGTTAAAATGCCAATAACAATTCTCGAATTGTTCTCTAATTTAATTAGATTAACTGATAAATTACTACACACAATACTTGTTAAATGTTTCCTAGATAGAAAATAGTTTAGAACCTATTTCCAGATTGTATTATTTCTAGATTTTTTGATGTTGCATTTCCTGTGTATTTAATTACCATGTATTATAATTCACCAAGATTTGTAGATTTATTTAAGCTATAATAAGTATTTTTCTTGTGTCCAATAATTTCAGATATAATTTAAAATTTAGAATGGTGTTCCATGGTCCATCATCTTTTACTTTAAAAAATACAATTTTCAAAAATTTCTGATTTCCAAATAATTATTGAGTTGATTTGAAACTCTACGATGATTGAATTACTTGGTAATTTGTAAGTTAAACTATATTGTATGTTCATCACTACTTATATATTTTCTTTTGCTGTGATGCATGAGTAAGTGTTTTTTGTTCGTAGAACATGTCCATTTCGTGTTTGGACAGGATTCGGAAATGCGGTAATTATATTTACGTATATACAGTTACACGGATCTCTGGACGTAAAAGCTAAATACAATAAGATAGTATTTACAGTAAGAATAAGATAAGTAAGATAGTATTACATTCATTGGTAGATTTCTCTTCTTGTTACAAATGTTTCGAGTGTTTCGAAAAGAGAATAAACGATGACAACATAATAGATATCAACTATTTGTCTTTTTTCTCTTTTAAACATGAACGATATGGACATTTTGCATTTCGTATCTATAAATCTACCAATTATATCATATTTTTCATTCAAAAGGTATCTACATACGATTGTACCTTTTATGCCGAATGCGGCAGCGAGCGTTACAATTATTTTTATTTTTATGTAAAGACAAAATTCTAAGTGCTAGAGAGCATTGGCATATATTAAGATATCTATACTTTTCAGAGATCTTTTCATTTTATTTCTTTTTTTTACCTTTTTTCTTTAATTTAATGGATAAGACACACTATAGTGTACAAATATGCGAGTATTTTCTCTTTTCTTTTATCATTTTCTGAATTTCTATATTTCTCTCCTTCTCTTTCTTTCTTTCTTTCATCTCGCACGTGGATATTGCAATCTAATTAGAATATTTCAAGCTTTTAACACTAAGGTGGTAACAGTTCACTATTATTCAAGGTATGTATCATTGGACGAGCATACCAGGACGGTTCATCATTCAATATGGTAATACAAGAGCTCTGATATGCTTCATAGTTGTAGACATTTTCTGGGTAATTTTTATAATTGAATAATTTTTTTCAGATTGAGAGATTAAAATGTATTGAATGTACTAAGAAATCAATGTTTGTATAAAGTATGTTGTAGTGATTAGTCGTAATTATGACAAGAAATTTAAAGTAAACTTTTTCTAAGTTCTTATGAGTCAAAAATGTAAATTTTAGATATCTTTGTAAATACTGTTAAAATCGATCAATGCAATAGCAATTATGTATATTTCATCCAAAGATCTTCAAAATTACTTTTGTTTCGCAAAACACAATATATTACTTAAATTTAAAAAATCTTTCGACAAATTTACCTATAAAATGTATATGTTCCATTTTTATAAATATATTTTATGATATAGTTTACTTTTCCTGTCGTTACAAGTTATAAGCCAAAGCTAAAGCTTTTATTGCTAAAGCTAGTCATTTCATTTTCTTTTTTAACATAATTCATACAGAATATTGATTATTATTTATTTAGTTAAAAAAAGTTATTCGATATCAAAAAAGTATTTGAATATTTTAAATACTTATTATAATAATAATGTATACAGTAAATGCAGTAGTACAGGCATACATACATATCTCCTTATAATTGGAAGCATCATCAAGAGTATACAGAAAATGTCCCATTTAAAATAGAATATTTAATTAATTTCTTAAAATTGATTAGAATAAAAAAATGTCACAGAGCAATGTCACATCATTTGAAAGGAAAGATATAATGATATGAATTTTATTATTTCCAGGTCATCTTTTTGAAATACTCAAATCATTGTTTTTTTTAGGTAGAATGGTATATTATTGTTACCATGTACGATAGCTTTTTATCAAACAAATTCAAAGGATATTTTATTTTGATTTCTAGATGACTTAGAGTGAGAAAATTATGCTTAAATAAGACAAAAAAGTCTTAAGCTTATTCGTTTTTGTTACAATTACATATTTTTAAGATTATATTGTGTGATCTCAAATCTGTACATAAATAATAGTAAATTAAACGACAAATGAATAGAAAAAGACAATTTAGGGGGGGGGGGTTAAGATAAAAATTAATGTTTATCATGAGTAAAACATGAAAGATGTTAGACGGCATATGATGCCATTTGGTCATCGTAGAACATATGACATTTTGTAATTTTATATTTTAGAAAATATGTATGTTCATATAAAGACATAATTTTGAACATTAATTATGCTTTGTGGAAAAAATAATAGTAACCATGACTTGAAACGTATATTACGTATATTAGATTAACACGCGTTAAGAGTTAAGAATTTCACATATTTTCTTATTCAAACGTTAGTTTTGTTCAAAATCATTTTAACGTTAGATGAAATAGTATTTCCTTACTTAAGAGCTATTATATTATTATTCTAATATTATATAAAAAAAAAACGTTATTCTACCTAAAAAAGCATTAATGATCTTGATATCTTAAGAAATGTCCTTGAAAAGAAAAAGAAATTGTTTTATTGTATTTCTTCTTATACGAACAGTGCAATTTTATTCTGTAACATTCTTCCATCCTACTATCCAATGGAAATATTTATATTTTGGGTTTTGATTTTAAATGGGATATTCTATAAAAAAGAAGATCTTGAAAAAAGATTTTGAAAACACAATCATCGACTTCTATTTTTTGAGCGAGAGTTATATAAACTTTGTCAATCTTCAGTTGTCAATATCCACGCGGTCAACGCTGCACCTGAGAGCCAGACTAGCATAACGAGCCACGTGTTCGTAACTCCAACGAGGGTATACATATATCTATGTCGTCACCTGACATACCGATATCATTATTAATACTGAAACTCGAGGGATCCGCTCGCCCTCGCGCACGCTATCGATGGCTTTTTCTATCATACGAGAGAAGCGCGGACAAAGCGTATTACCCTGAGTATCCGAAATTATAGATAACTAAACTTAAATAAACATTGCCGAAGAGTGGATTATTTACGACACTCTGACTGTCAGGTACAGAACGCTTTTTTTCTTTACCTTCTTTGTCATTTTTCTCTCAATACGTCGTATATCGTTATTTTTTCTTTTTTTCTAGCCTCTCGCGGCGGATATTGGTATATTCCTTTCTTTTTTTCTTTTATAAACGCTACGGAAAATTGAGCGATAAGAACAAACGAACTATTTCGCGGACACATCAATCTACCCCGACATTGATGGCATTTCTCATCGAAAAGAAGAACGTCACATGGCATGAGTCGTGCGACAACAGTCTATCTCTTCTCTAATTGCAAATATGTTCCTCGCGCCTTTGTCTGCAGAGTTCGCACTTCACGTGACAGCACCAGACGAATCGGCAACTGCATTTTTCCGTGACGTCCCGTACCCTTGTCTGATAACCTCGACCGCAGCATAATAACCGGCAACCATCTAGACCCGGTGATGTTCGGTTGCAGATTCTTCCTCTCGTTCCAGGAATGCCCAATCTACGATCAATCCAACGATTAATCTATTTCCTTATTTTTTTCTTTATTTTGTATCATTTTATAAATTGATGAAAGACATCTGTATGAATCATTGTAAAAAATTATTAATAACCAGAAAATTTTACTGTCATTACAATTCATGTATGTTCAAGAGATAGTATTAAAATATTGTTAGTATAAAAGTGTTCAAAATGACGCATCGTTTGCCGTTTCTTAATTACTTATTTATTGTTTCTGTAAAGAATTAATTTTTAAAATAATTTTTATGTAAATAATTTTTCTAATAATTGACCTAAACACGGCTTTTTATTATTTTATACATTTTTGTGTTTATGGATATAAAAACATACGTGATGTTTCTTTCACAATAATCAGGACTATCGTCCAGGTAGACTAAATCCGTCTTATTCGGTCGTTTAAGATCAGGTTGCGCGGGCCTCAGTCTTGCGGGTCTTCTGCCGCCTCGTTGAGACAGTCGTACCAATGCTGCCCCATCGTGAAGAGCTGCGAGATCTGTCCCGGCTTCTCTGAATGCTGGAAGTCTCCTCCAGCATACGCGGACACTGCATGAACCGGACATACCTACGAATTTTTAATCCATTAACAATACTAATTCAAAATATTAAAGATGTATTATAGATTTTGTAAGATATGACATATACAGAATGTTTCTTTAAAAAATATGTAATTTTTTTTCTCTTTTATTACCAAAATTTGAACAGATGAACTTAGAGTATTTAAGCTTAGAAGGGAAATGACTTACCATGACATTTGCAAATACGTTTCATTTTCGAACGGATAGCCCGCCTGCCTGCCTCACTGTCGTGTTTTCTCATCAGTTGACCGGCCAGTCCTTTAGCATTATTCGTAATTCCTTCCTTGATTGGTTCTTCAGCACCATCCGTCCATTCTCTGGAGAATTTGTCCCCAAAATGTATGTCCTAAAGATAAGTAAAGCGATCTACGTAGACACATGAGCACATAAAAATGGGAGAAATCTTTGTTAACGAGTGTTAAATCGACTTTTAATTAACACTTTGACGCAACCTTTGCGTATCTCAACGAAATTTCCTACGTTAAAACGAAATTATACGCCAGTAGTATTTTCGAACGATGAATCCTGCTGCACGCTCGATCACTGGAATGAAAGAAGACAAGGTTGGAAAACAAACATCGTTATCTCGAAAATCTGTCTGCTCGCTCGTCCAAGACATCTGTCCTATGGGATCTGACTCGTTAAGGGGAGTTCAAAGACGGTGAGAATCTAGCAGAGAACGAAAATGGAGAAATGGACGATCATAATACCTCTTGATGGTAATCCTGGAGGAAACGCGATGAGTTCCTTGACGTCACCACCGACACCGTCACCAACATACTATTACTAACGAAAATGGCAACGGAAACGCTATTGCCATCACCATTGCACTAGCATTACTATCGTTCTCTGTGTTGTGCTGCGCCCATGTGGAGAGCGAAGAACGAACGAGAAAGGGGTCGGTGCGGCGGCGGATTGTTGCAAGTTAACAAGCTTAACCCCCTTAATCCCGTTGTAAGCTTGCAAAGTCTACAAGGGGTCAGCCGTTCGCACGAAATGCATCCGTTTAGAGAACAAGCTTTGTCTTCGACCAGGGTTAAGGTTTACGCGCTTAGAGAGGGAGGTCGAGACGGTAGCGCTCTACCCTCTTTATCTTTAACCTCTTACTCTTTCATTCTCTCGCTCTCCTTGAATGATCATTGCTGCATATATCCGAGTATATCCAAATATATTTTCATAAGACCTTACAAAAAAATGCTTAATCATAGTACAAAAAATTTACTAATTTCGTCTTTTCTTAAATCCTTTACTTTCTTTAAGTATATTTTATTATAAATTTCATATTTATATTAGTTTGGGCGATTTAACAGAATTGAAGCTATAAAGAAATTCATATATTTCGATTGACGAAATAGTGTGTAATGTGACTAAATCTAAACAAATATATCCATAAAAGGTATAAATTACCTCTAATTGTAAGTGTTAAGTAATTTTCGTGAAAAAAAGAATTTCTGAAAATCATTTAATTTTTCGAAGCTACGAACTAAAGTAATCTTTTAAGGATCGTTCAACTTTCTGAGCTAGTGCATCGAGACAAGAGTATCGAACCGGTTTAGACAAATTTGGCTAGTTTTCCTCGCGATAGACATACAAGAACTTGGTTTGTACTAACAATAAATAGCAAGTGCAATACTTAACATTTGGTTTATGCATATATCATCGATCAAGATCCTTGAGAGAATTATTGCCACATCGTAATATATTCTATGTATACAATAATATGATTAGTTGATTATTACGAGTCATTATATCGTATAAATATATATATATATATATGTGCTTTTAACGATCGAATGAAAATTTAATACAAAGTAACTGTTTATTTTCTCGGCATACATTGTAATTAAATGTATAGTTCGATAAATTAACATTATAATCGATATACTAAATATTCACACAATTTAAGAAATTTTATTTATTCTAAAGAACAAAACATATTATGTTAACAGTGGTAATATTGAATGATTTAGAATATGTTAATAATAGGTACTCTGTGAGATAATGATGTTTCGAACATTATAATATTTGCTTAAAATACCTTCATTGTAAGTATTTTTCTAATGTTCATTTGTGAAAGATTTTGTTACTAAAAAAGGAAATATTTATTCCTTTTTATGCTTATATAATATCCTATGTAAAAGCCAGACTATTAGAATTGCCTAAAAGTTGGATTTTATTAATGAAACATCCCTGTATAAACTCACGTTTGAAAAAACTTCAGAATCGTGTTTTGAAAGTCCGCCGTGGTTAGTTTATACTACTTTCTTAACCTTAATTTACGAGGTACACTACTTTGCGGGCTTCCGGAGGTATCGAAAGTAACGGGGCGAGGGAAAGTAATCCTTAAAAAGTAGCTTATCTAATCCCCCTACAATGGTATAACCTAGCAGTTACAAAAGATGGGGAACAAAATTCGTTTTCGTTGTATTCTTAGTTTTTTTCTTCTTTTTTTTTTTCAATTTCTAGTTCGTTAGACCGTCCTAACTAGATTTTATTTCGTATTACCAGCTTTTGCTCGCCATAAAAAATACGTTTATTTCTCCTTTGTTTCGCAGATAAAAGTAAAAGGCGATTAGTTTAGCAAGTAACGGGTATAGAAAGAAAAACTACAGTGAGTGTAGAAAATATTCATACACCAATCAATTTTCTTCTATTCTTCAATCTTTCTTCTATTGTTATTTCAACATGTTTTCGTCCCATTTTTCAACAATAATTTTCCATCTTTAAAAATTTTGAACTCTACTAATACGGATAACGGTTACAAACATACTGACAAGGTCAATTATAACTAAAAAAAATTACGTGACGTTTTTACATTATGGTTTATATGCAAATTCTTTTGCAAATAGTTCGAAATAAGAACTGTTCGAATACTTATAGCTCGTATGTTTCTGCCGATTTTTTCGTTTTTCTTGTCAATTTTTTAATTTATTATAAATAAATATTATATATTTTAAATATATATTTTATCAGTAGGATTAAACTGGGTGTACGTTAACCTCGCACCTCTACACTAAACCCAATCCTACATGTCTATATATATATTTTTGTTTCTATCTATGGCTATCGCATTCGGCATTCTATCTTAATTGATATAATTTGGAAAGTGATAGTTTTTGTCATCTACCCCTAGATCATAGCGGTGCCCTTTGATATATATGGTAACAATATTATTTTAAATAAATCCTACAATTATTTTACTCTTGATACTATGCATTCGTCTCTTTTTCTCGAAACTTGATTGTTTCATTTCTATGTTTTTCTTATAAATATCCAAAGACATGTTTTTTAATCATAATATTTGGGTATTTAGGAAATTTATACTAATTTTTCAATAAAATAGAAACATTTTTAAATAAAAGAAACTGGATACGTGACACAAACAAATAAACCTTATTTGCTATTTTATTTCCAATAAAAATACAATAATATAACTTATTTAAGAAATATAGAAAAAAAATTAAGAAAAATTAAAAAGTTATAAAATAATACAACGAAAATGAAAAATAGATTTTAGAATCTTTAATTAAAAACTCGAAGAAACGAAAGAAATACGACCAAATTTGTTCCGTTCTTTTTTAAGCATCTAACGGAATTAGTAGCAACAACAAAAAATATTTAGATGTGCTGACCCATGATAAATGTATCTCAAATTTACAGAAAGACTATCATCTACCAGAGTTTCAAAAAAGGATATATTATATTTACGGGGTAACTATCCGTCAACGAACATCCTATGATTTTTGTGTAAATCTATATATCGCATCGCATTCAGCATTCCATTTTTATTGCTTAAATTTAGAAAAGTGTAGTTTTTATCAGTTATTCCACCCACTGATCATACTGGTGCCCTTTGATATATATGGTAACAATATTAAAATAAATAAATCCTATAATTATCTTACTTCTGATACTCCGTATTCGACTCATTCTCTCGAGGCTTGGTTTTAAGAAAGTTTCACTTCTAACACGTGTGATGTGCACACATGATATTTTTTTTATTTCTTTATATCTATTGTAGAAACCTTCAAGAATATGTACAAATTCATTGTTTATAAAAAATTAGTTAATAAACTACAATTTCCCAACATTTTATTTCAAATTGATTGGTGTACGAATATTTTCTACCTCACTGTATAAGAAGAAATATTTGAAAAGAGTAAAAAGTAACTTTCACTTTTGACTCATGACATTGGAGTGTCACTGTTTTTCGGTTGAAGTACTATATTGTTCAAATGATATTAATTTTAAAAAAGGAAAAAGATATTAGAAAAAATGATATTTAACGGGAGTATTGAGTGAAGTTTTCTTTCAAGGAAACCTTAGATCGCCAATTGAACTCAATTTCTCTGAAATTGCTGACGAAAGCGTTGTTATGTAATTTCTTTGTAGACAATTACGCATCAATTAATTACGAATTCGTACGATGAATTTATGTCAATTATAGTTGAATAGCATTTAAGTATTTAATCGTTTTTTGAACGGTCAATTAGATAGGAAGAGAGAGATATACTGACCTCACTACAACCACCCCATTGCCAGTTATTTGGTCGGCGCGTCCTAATTCGATTGTCGCAGGAACAATCTGTCAGTTCGCCCCTTGAACATGCTCTAGTTACACTGTAAGCGATTCCAGCTGCTGATATCGCGTAAACGAATGCAGCTTCTCGACTATCTGTGAATTAAAACGATTATTTTTATTGTTTTTAAATTGTTTAAATGCCAATACATTGATAAGCAATTGATCAAATTTTCCTATAAATATTTATCTTCAAAATGTTTACATATGGTACATGCATGACAATAAATAAGATATTTATACAATTTATATGTTTATTATTTATACTGGTTATAATACATTAATCAATGTAGATGATATTTAATGTTTAATCAGATCAATTTAGCTAATTATAAATGTTAACCTGTTTGCCGTGTGGTACAATAAATTTAATTGTTATAATAATATCGTAACTTAAATGTTTATAATACATAATTATTAAAAATCAGGTAAATTAGAGTCATCGTATATGGTATTGTTGTAAAGGTACATTGTTCCAATAACGCTATTCTTGCGAATTTTATTAAACATTAATTCTTATAACCTTTTATTAAAACTTTCTGGAAATCTTTTGCAAATTAATTACTTTATGCTTTAGCGTAAGGTAACAGCTATTATCTTGCAATCTATTTAAAAATCTGGCGTGATTTATAGGTCGAGAAACACTGATCTAGACGTTTGAAAAAGCGTTTAAATGAAAGACAAGGTATGCAATATAATAACGCATTCTATTGAAAAGTTATAATCAGTACTTACTGACTAGCATGACACCACCAAAAATATTGTCCGGATTGTCTGTACTGACTGAGCAATTCCATCTTGCTGACCGGAATTGGTGCTGACATTCTTCGATTGCCAATCTTGTGCCTGCGCTTACCGCCTGTGAAAATTTAAGTAAGTCAGCTTCGACACATTTTGAGTAAGATACTAATCGCTCATACATAGGCATCCATTTAAAAATAAACACATAAAACTTGTATAAAGTAGTAATATGTACGAATGTAATGACGATATGAATAAAAAATATTATAATGATATTAGAATAATTTACTTGCTATTATCAATGAACTGTTATTATTAAAATATTTGTATACAATTATCTTTATATATTATAAAATACTTATTTATATATAAATATAAAAATA